AAAACATAGCGGAGGGAGCATCATGGTTTGGAGCTGCTTTGCTGCCTCAGGGCCTGGACGGATTGTTGTCATTGATGGGAAAATGAATTCCAGAGTTTATCAAGACATTTTGCTGGAAAACATACTACCATCTGTCCGCCAACTGAAGCTCCGCAGAGGATGGGTGATGCAACAGGACAACGACCCAAAGCATACAAGCAATTCAACAAAACAATGGCTGCAACAGCACAGAATACGCCTTCTGGAGTGGCCCAGTCAGAGTCCTGACCTCAACCCGATTGAAATGCTGTGGCATGACCTTAAGAGAGCGATTCACACCAGACATCCCAAGAATATTGCTACACTGAAACAGTTTTGTGAAGAGGAGTGGTCCAAAATTACTCCAGATCGTTGTGCAGGTCTGATCTGCAACTACAGGAAATGTTTGGTTTAGGTTATTTCTGCCAAAGGAGGGTCAACCAGTTATTAAATGCAAAGGTTCACATACTTTTTCCTCCCTGCACTGTGAATGTTTACATGTTATGTGCAATTAAACCATGGCAACATCTAATGTTTGTGTAGTATTATGTTCAGCAGACTGTGTTCTTCTATTGTTGTGACTTAGATGACGTTCAGAGCACATTTTTATGCCCAATTCATGCAAAACTCCACGTAATCCCAAAGGGTTCACATACTGTTTCTTGCAACTGTATGTGGGGGACACAGAAAACATGTGGAAGAAGGTGCTCTGGTCAGGTGAGACCAAAATTAAACTTTTTGGCCTAAAAGCAAAACGCTATGTGTGGTGGAAAACTAACACTGCACATCCCCACCGTGAAACATGGTGGTGGCAGTATCATGTGGGGATACTTTTCTTCAGGAGGGACAGGGAAGCTGGTCAGAGTTGATGGGAAGATGGATGGAGCCAAATACAGGGCAATCTTAGAAGAAAACCAGTCTCTTCAAAAGACTTGAGACTGGGGGGAGGTTCACCTTCCAGCAGGACAACGACCATAAACATAAGTTAGGGCTGCAATGGAATGCTTTAGATGAAGGGTCTCCAAACTTTCTAAACAAAGGGCCAGTTTACTGTTCTTCAGACTTAAGGGGGGCCGGACTGTGGTCAGTGTGAGTACAAACTGGCTTTGGCGTAAGTAGGAGCAAACAGTGTGCCATCGTTGGTATCAGTGGGAGGAATAGTGTCCCATCGCTGGTGTCAGTGGGAGGAATCGTGCCCTATTGTTGGGTGTCAGTGGGTGGAATATTCCCCTATTGTTGGGTGTCGGTGGGAGGAATAGTGCCCCATTGTTGGGTATCAGTTGGAGGAATAGTGCCCCATTGTTGGTGTTAGTGGGAGGAATCGTGCCCTATTGTTGGGTGTCGGTGAGAGGAATATTCCCTTATTGTTGGGTGTCAGTGGGAGGAATAGTGCCCCATTGTTGGGTGTCAGTGGGAGGAATAGTGCCCCCTCGTTGGGTGTCAGTGGGAGGAATAGTGCCCCCTCGTTGGGTGTCAGTGGGAGGAATAGTGCCCCATTATTTTAAACAAGGGCCAGTTTACTGTCCTCCAGACTTAAGGGGGAACTGCCTGTGGTCAGTGGGAGTAAAAAGTGGCTTGGCGTATGTGGGAGCAAACAATGTGCCATCATTGGTGTCCGTGGGAGGAATAGTGCCCCATTGCTGGTGTCATTGGGAGTAATTGTGCTTCTTTCCTGGGGTCAGTGGGAGGAATTATGATACTTTGTTGGCATCAGAGGATGGACCAGTGCTCCAAGGGCCAGATAAAAGAAAGCAAAGGACCGATCCGGCCCCAGGGCCACAGTTTGGAGACCACTGCTTTAGATCAAAGCATATTCATGTGTTAGAATGGCCCAGTCAAAGTCCGGACCTACATTCAATTTAGAATCTACGGCAAGACTTTAAAATTGCTGTTCACAGACGCTCTCCATCCAATCTGACCGAGCTTGGGCTATTTTGCAGAGAAGAATGGGTAAAAATGTCACTCTCTAGATGTGCAAAGCTGGTAGAGACATCCCCAAAAAGACTTGCAGCTGGAATTGCAAAAGGTGATTCTACAAAGTATAGACTCCGGGGGGCTGAATACAAATGCATGCCACACTTTTCACAGATTTATTTGTAAATTACTTTATGATTACTTTATCAAGTCTGTGTAAATTGATAGGTCTTTATAAATCACCTGTAATAAATAAACTTGTATTAAACACGTTTAATCCCTCCCCCCCACGTTTTATTTTATTTTAGTTACTTGATTAGAGTATGAAAAAGACATGCAGAAACTATTTCTGCCGGTGACAGCAGTTTGTTTGCTGGGATATCATTTCCCTTCTGGCTTTCTTAGGTTTAGTACACTGTACAGCTAAATGTTACAAAGTAAACATGTACACTTTTTTTAACTTGTCAGAGTTGTGATTTCCTTTTACGGTTTGTTCATACATAAACTTGCCTTAAAATTCATGGAAATGCTCGAAAAATGAATGTGCATTGCCTTCCAGTGGCGTGAATTTTTATGCACAAAAAATTGCTATGGGCCTCAACTGAAAATATCACTTATGACAGTTCTGCCCATACTCTGGATACATTGTTTACTCACATTAATTCTTGTCCTAAGTAAAATAACCAAGACAAATGTGTTTATGGATAAAAGTGACAGTTTTTATTGAGTGTTTTTTCTGGCTTGCAAGAAGTTAGGTGATAATCGGTTTATACTATTCTAAACTAGGCAAAATCAAATATTTTCAGTGCAGGGAAGCAAAAGGAGGTGCCTAACACCTTGCTTACATGAGGGGAGGGGGGGTGATAAATATAATTATTTTTAGTTTTTCTGCCCAGCTGCAAATGAACAGGTCCCCTTTTTCTATTAGTGTTTGGTGTTGATTACTAGTTTGTTGGATATACCGTGTTGCTGTCATGGTTTTATGTAGTGCTCTATTACTTATGAGAGTACTACCACCTACCTTCAGGCAGTACCACCACCAAACACGACCCATTCAAGTGAATGGGGCTAACCTGCAACTGTGAACTAAGCATTTAGTTGGTGGCTTAGTGTTCATATTTAAAATACCCATTCTGTCAGTAGAATGCATGGCAGCCAATGCTATAATACCCTCTAAAAAGCGGTCCACCACCAATCACTTTTCAGAGTGGTACTCTGCATTTATGGAAGGCAGAGAATTCTTTCACATTGACAATGTTTATGTTGGTGTATCTAAACCCACAAACTGTACTCCATCTAATTTATGAAGTTGAGTTGTCAACCTTGGATAAGAAATGTATTCGAACTACAGAGCCATGCTCCTTCCCCCTTCATAATAAAGTGGGGAGGAGTTCTGCAGATGGATCTATGCTAACTGATAACATCCAGCAAAAGCACAGGAAGTTAGCAGTTTTTTTTTTTTTTTGTCAGGATCAACAGTAAATGTTTTTTTTTACATTTGGAACATAGAGCTTTGAATGGTACCTTTTGACAGTGAGCTAGTTGTTGTTTACATATTTTAGTAATGTGCAAGTCCTACTTTTGTTTTGCCATTGATTGCTTCCAGTTGCAATTTCAGTGACAAACAATAAAAAAAAATTAACTAGTTCTGTTTGAAGTGATCTCATACTCCTGAGTTCCTTCTCTCTGTTTCCAATTATACTGCAAGAAAATTGCCAGTCAGTCATCCCCTATGATCCACTGCTTCCTCTGCCCCAAGCCTATGCTCTATTCCCTGCTCCACACCCACCAGTGCTAGTCCCCATAATACCCTAGGCATGTGAAGCATGGTGGTCTGCAGGAAAAGCAGCAGCACTGATCCACATTCCTCCTAGAATGATGTACTCTTACCAACAGAACTGGGAACCTGTCTGACAGTGACTGTGTGGACTGCCTGTCACTGCTGCAACTGGCTGCTGGGTGGTACGATTGCAGCTAGGAGGTAGTGGCTGTGGTCTGTGCTGCTTGCGCAGTAAATGTTGAGACCACACTAAGGGCCTCTTTTTACTGTCCACAGGGTTATATGTGTGCAGTGCATCCCACCTACCCCCCCCCCCCCCCCACAGCACATCATGACCCCTTTATTGATCACCTGAGTTGTATTGTATTTCTGTCCTTCCAGTTTTTATGTTTACCATAGCTCAGCACAGTACTGTCTGGCATAGCTGGAGACTTGATAATTCTTTCTACCATGTTAGAATATGAGCACTGCAGCATTACAGACTGCTTTCCTGTCCTGCCCTGCCCTGCCCTGCCCTGCCCTTACATTCCCCAGTCTCTCTTCATGACACTAAAGCTCAGGTTTGTTATTAAAAAAACCCAAAAAAACACCAATCTATACTTACCTGCTTTGCGCAGTGGTTTTGCACTGAGCAGCCCTGAGTCTCTTTTTTTTTTTTTTTTTTTTTTTTTTCTGTTCCCTCCTGCACTCCTGGCTCCTCCGCCCTCAAACGGTGACCTCAGGAAAAGCCGTTCCCTGAGCCGCTGCTCTGTGCATTCAGAAGACACATCTCCCCCCAACTCTCTCCTCATTGGCTCACTGGCTGTGATTGACAGCAGTGGGAACTCAAATGGGCTTCCTCTGCTGTCTCAGCCAATGACGAGGAAGAGTCCCCAGACAGAGGCTGTTGAGAATGTTGCTGGATCAGAGGGGGCTCAGGTAGGGATTGGAGGGGAGGCCGCTGCACACAGATTTTTTTTACATGAAGGTAAAAAGCCTTCAGAACCACTTTAAAGTTTTGTACTAATGTAGCACCACTCCCTGCAACATTCTACTGTCAGACGGGGGGGAAGAGGGGAGCTGGAGTGTAGTCATGACACCCTGGGCTCACAGGAACTGTGTGTATGTATGTGAATATAAATATATATATATATATATATATATATACGTACGTACGTGTGTTTTTTTTTTTGTTTTTTTTTTGTCGTCTTATGCTTTGACCAAGCTCGGGTTGGGTTTGAACAACTTTTGACCTTTTGTGATATGTTTACAGCAACATAAATGTAATGATTTTGTTTTTCTTTTTGGTATGCAGCAACCTGTCATGGAAAGTAAACTTAAAGCTTTCAGCATTGGCAAGATGGCTCCTGCAAAGAGGACACTAAGCAAGAAAGAACAGGAGGAGCTCAAGAAAAAGGTGATGCATATAGAATTTTAAGATGGCCAGCCATGTTATAAGCAAGCAAGACGATTATTGTTTCCAAACAGAAAATTATTTTTTTTTGAAGTGGTTTTAAACCCAAAAGCTTATCAATGTTTACGTGTGAAGGCTTCATTAGTTTTTCTCTTCTAGACTTTCTTTTATTTTCACCTGATGATCTAGCTTAGAGGGTAAGTCTGTTTTTCAGGATTGTTGGTTCCCCCATGCATCTCCTAAACTGCATCACATTTTTTTTGTGGAGGTGCTGGAAGGTGTGTGATTACATAACTTTCTGCAGCCTGCACCGAGACTTAAATGGTTTGAGCCAGTATTGAATTGTGAACGTTTTTCTGAATCTAAGGATTGATGTCTTTTTTTTCAGATTTTAATTATAGGTTCTATATCCCTGTAGCTGCTGGTTTGAACTGTGTAATATCCAAAGTACAGGGTGTGTCTTCTATCGTACTGCAAATTTTGCCAACTGTTATAATTTCTAAAGCATTGGAGACTCATTTTATTCAACATCTGTGAGAGAATACAGCTTTTTGATTTTTCGTTTTTGCTCTAACTTTAAAGTGTTACTAAACCCACAACAGTAAAATCAGTCTGTATATGCAGTGAAGCATGCTTGTTATACTCACTGTGGAACCTAAGGGGTTAATCCTCCACATTATGTAAAAAAGACTGTTTGATCCTGTCTTCTTCAATCCTTCCCTTTCTCTACTGTCCCCAATTCATCTTCTGATCGAGCTCTAGCAGTTACTCTGAACATGCTCGGTTTGGTGTGTATGGCTAGAGTTTTTTTTTTCCTTCTTCTTTGGGAGAGTACATGTGATCAGCAAAGGGCCAATCAACACTGTCCTGACAGAGGATCAGGGGTCATGCAGCCTCATAGGACAGTCAGAGGAGAATGAAAACTCCTCCTATAAGCTTTAACCAGTGCTCAGCCGGACACTGATAAGTCACAAGACTGCTCTAACTGCTGATGAGAAAAGGTATTTAGCAGTTTATATTTACTAAAATAATTGCATTTCCATGCACTGTGGGAGATCAGAATGCAGGGTCCTGGGTTTAGCAACACTTTAATGTTGGTCATATAACTGTTACATTTTAGCTTATTTTCTGGCATTTCAAACACATATTAGTTTGTGGCATCTCACATCTGCTCAATCTCACTCCAACTTCTTAAGTGAAAAATAATGCTTTATGTTGGTTACCTCAACTTGGCCCATTGCCTCAACAAAAATAAACCCCTTACTAGGTAAAAGTAATATAAAGTATTAAATGCAAATCAGAGCTTTTACTCATTACTGTGTTCAGACAAACCATTTGTTGCAACCTGTTCATGAATCAGGCTGCCTGGTATATTTTTAAAACCAAAATTAAAACCCCTGTCACTTGCCTAAATTTGTGGTTCCTTAATGTGCCAGGTCCTGAGTCTTCTGTCTTTCCCACGGCACAGCAAAAGGGTCCTCCTTCAGGTGCCCCTATCATTTTTTAGGTGACTTCCTGTTAATTGTCCACTTGTGGGGCCCACTCAGGTCCTGTAGACTGTAGTGGCATGATGACATCACATCGAAGGGATAGATTGTTGGTAAACAAAGACTGCAGCAGGGCATCGCTGGTCTCCACTCAATTCATCCTTTATAATCTCAATGTTTGCAAGGTCAAAACAAAATTTATTTTAAAGTAGAACTTCACTCTCTCAATCAACATTGACTATTTTGTATTGTTTTGCTCCTAGCATTAGTAAATAGATAGGAAAGTATATCATATTTACTTGATTTTAAACAGTTTTTTTACATTTCTTTAGTTACTTCCTTTTTTCCATGCCTAGGCAAATGTCTCACATCCCAGGAGCCTTCAGGAGGGGAGGAGGAGTTTGTTCAGCTAAGCAAACCCTCTTGTCTGTATGCCTGAGCTAAGGGCAGATAGATCCCAGGAATTAAATTAAATAGTGCTGAATAGTAATGAATGAAATAGTGCTTTTTGATTTGTGGTGCTCTGATACAGTGTAGTTCCACTTTAATATGCTTTACGACTGTTTTTGAGTTCAACTAAAATATTTTCTCTCAGACAACCTAAGCCCATAAAGTGTTTTTTTTTCCTTAAAGTTGTAGAAACTGGCAAACAAAAAGGGAAAAAAATGTTTCTACCGCAAGGCAATGTTATACTGTGCTAGTATGCATCACATACGAGCACATTATGTGAAACTTACTTTAAAATGAAGCCCTCCAGCAGCACTCTGTCATTGCTGGCAGGGCTTCCATCTTCACTTGGTCTTCCTTCTGGGTCTACAGGCTCCAGTCCTTTTGGCCGCGGGAGTGCGCGTGGGAGTCCCTGTCTACAGTCCACAGCTCTGAAGGAATGGCACAGTTATGGCATTCCTTCAGAGCACATGTGGCAGCTGCTACACAAGTAAATCTCTCCTAAACAGTGCAGTACCTACAGGTAAGCCTTTATTATAGGCTTACCTGTAAGTAAAATATTAAAAATTGACTGTTAAGAAGGCCTGCAGACAAGGCCAGGTTAGGCTCCAACAAATATGGAGTCATGTGTGCTTTGCTGATATATTGTGTATATGCAGGCTAAGCGAAATGTTATTTCATTGATTGTATTCCATTTGCTTGTATCTTTTTTTTCATATAAAAATCTTTATTTCAGGTTGTATTGCCATCTTCTACTTTTTATTTTTTTTTATTTTCCCCCCATAGCTAGTGTAGTCTTTTCCTGCAGAATGGTTTCTGAACAGCAAACTAAAGGGAACAAACCACTATTAGGCTCATGCAAGAACTCTAATTACTCTCCTCCACACTGTCTTACTGCAGGCCATATTATACATAAGTATAAAACCAGACTTTCCTGTGTCACATCAATAGTACCACTGCATCAGGTTTCTGCTTGCTCTATTCTAGTATGTGACTTGCATACTTTCAACACGCTCTTATTCTAAAGAGAGAAGTTTGCGGGGTTCACAAGCAGTGTCAAATCAAATGTTAGAACTACAGTAACTTGTCCTAATCTCATGACAACACAAGAATACATAATGTTGTTATATCAGGAGCTGTTACTTGTTGCATTCATTCTGATGCTGGAACATGGAAACAGATCGGTCTTTTACTTTACAGGAAGATGAAAAGGCTGCTGCTGAGATTTATGAAGAGTTTTTAGCTGCTTTTGAAGGAAGTGATGCCAGCAAAGTTAAAACATTTGTGAGGGGAGGAATTGTCAATGCCACAAAAGGTAAAGTCTTCATCTAGAACTCTATCATTGTATTACTCAAGATTTTTCTTTCTTTATAAATCATGTGCCGTTTTGCAAACAAATTATTCTTGTCTGTTTTAAAAATCTAAAGCTTGAACTATAAAATAATGGTACAAGAGGCAAATTTGTGCATGTTTTTTAATTCTTTAAGGAAGGAAAGAAGGGTTTCAAATCCGTATTGGTGTTGTATAAATCAAAGCTTCATGAACCACTTCAGCATTTGAGCAATTTTAAAATGTAAAAATCTTCATTTTTTAATTTAAAATAACTTGACTGTTTCCTGCCCTGCTTATTGTAAAATGACGGCTTGGCTGGAGTTTCCTAATCCGATGGCATCATATTACATCCTCAATGTGCATGCCTCTTGCACATCCTAGGGGTTGTACAGTGGCGTGATCTGTCACCAGCTGTGTGCACCAGACAGATCGCTGTGCCTGGCTGGTATTAGTACCATGTGATCCAGCAATCGCATGTCAATAGTACACAGTGGCTTTCATTCATAAACAATTGTGTACTATTGTGATCTGTATTGTGGCACTGAGGCCAATCACAGCTGACCTGTACAATGTGATAGCTGTAGCCAGTCATAGCGATCACAATAGTACATGAATAGATGCTATTCATAAAAACAATTGCTTATATCATTGATCAGATCACCACTATAGTAAGCGGTCATAGTGAGGGAAAAAAAAAATCCTGTTCACCTCACCAGAACAGTACAGTGTCAGTATGGTGACACACTACCGGTCACCGTATGTACAAAAAAAAATTAAATATTAACATGTTTAAAAAAAAAAAAATTAGGAAAAGTTTTCTTTGTACATACTGTCAGGCAATGCCCCTGTCCACCACTACACCAGTCATATGATGACACTGTACTGTTATGGTGACAGTATGAAAAAAAAAATTGTGACCATGTTATTCCTTCTTTTTCCAAAAAAAGTGACAAAATAATAAAAATTAAAAAAAAAAACTAATCTTCCCCCTTACTAAATATGTTACTAAGTGTCTACTTTTCAAAAAGGGATCATTTGAGTGCTATTTGTGCTGTCCTGGCATTTTAGGGCCCCAAGAAATGAGATAGGCAATTAGTACATCAGGACTGATCAGTTTTCAAATATATACTGTATACGCTAGTTTGTACACTCTAAACCTTTCACACAGACTAAATAATATACACAAAGAAATATGTATGAAGAAAGATTCAGCGCTATGTTATTGACTGCATATGTACCTCATTCCTTATATACAATTCAAAGAAAAACAAAACATGATGGAACTTTACTGGTACAATCAGTGGACAAACTTTATATGGATAAATCCACATATGCATATATCTGCTACTTGTCTCTTGAGACTCCATTTGATTGGGGACAAAGGGATTAATTTGATTGGGGACAAAGGCTGTGGATATGGACGCTCACTTGAGACCATTTTGTTCCGAGTGCTGCTGTTCCACATCACCTTTTATGTTGACATCCAAGGCATTTGATCTCTTCGCCTCCAATTCTGGGGTCCTGAAGAAGCTATTAAGCAAAACGCGTCAACCTTTGGAGGATACTTATGCCATAAAACAATATGCCGTTATGATTTGGGCCGATTAGCCAAGTATTGTTTTTATACAGTGTTATTGTAAGATTTATTTAATAAATGTGTAAATGTGTGAACACAAGTTTGTCCTCTGATGGTACCAGTAAAGTCCCATTATGTTTTGTTTTCTTTGATATGAAGAGATTATTTTTTTGCTAAATTTTATAACCGAAATGAAGAAAATGCTTGTTTTCTTTTCAAAATTATCAGTATTTTTTGTTTGTGTATGTATGTGTGTATGTACAGTTGTGCTCAAAAGTTTACATACCCTGGCAGAAATTGTGAAATTTTGGCATTGATATTGAAAATATGACTAATCATGCCAAAAAATGCTCTTTTATTGAAGGATGATGATCATATGAAGCCATTTATTATCAAATAGTTGTTTGGCTCCTTTTTAAATCATAATGATAACAGAAATCACCCAAATGGCCCAGATCAAAGTTTACATACCCTGGAATGTTCGGCCTTGGTACAGACACACAAGGTGACACACACGGGTTACAATGCCAATTAGAGGTTAATGTCCCACATCTGTGGCTTTTTAAATTGCAATTAGTGTCAGTGTATAAATAGTCAATGAGTTTTAGTTCTTATGTGGAAGCACTGACTGGGCTATATACTGAGCCATGGGGATCAGAAAAGAACTGCGTAACAAGGTAATGGAGCTTTATAAAGATGGAAAAGGACATATAAAGATGTCCAAAGCCTTGAATATGCCAATCAGTACTGTTAAATCGCCTATTAAGAAGTGGAAAGTTCGGGTATCTTCTTCATAAGAAAGTTAGCCTAACACTTCCTCAAATCTAAACCTGGGAAGAAAATGCATCAGACTGTTTCTTTAATCCAGACATTCAGATATTTTAAGGATGCTTGATTTGCTACTGGAGTATTAATTGCTTACGTGGAGCAGCTGCAGGCTGTCTGTTACAGGTCCAAGCAATCCAGCAGCTGTAAACTTGCTTTTCTTGACCCCCGGAGTGGCCACACTGCTGTGGGTTCCTAAACACCGAATAGAGTGCTGATTAACATTTGCTCAGTGCAGGGCAACTTGCTAATAGCTTTATAATCTAGGGACTGCAAGTGGGAAACCGTTTTACAAAATTGTAAGTAACAAACTCCACTAAATACTTGTATCTAATATGCCCCAAACTAATAACATGGAATTTATATTATGACTGAAATTTTGAATATGTATTGTTTTGTAAAGTATCGCGGTTATTTTGTTGCAGAGGAACACGAGGCCGATGAAAAGAAAGGCAAGCTGTATAAACCATCTTCGCGTTTCTCAGAGGCGAAACCACAGCCGCCACCTGTTGAGCGACCACCTCCTCCAGTAATACCTATGGAACCGAAGAAACCTGTAAGAGCAAATTATGTTTTCTAAATTGTGATACGTTGATTAGCCTATCTGTTTTTTCCTCTGCATGCTCCCAAAATTCTCTGATTGAGGAACTACATTGCATCTGAGCAGCATAATCCAAAAACACTACTTAATTCATTTTTAATATATAAAGCAAACTCTCCCATCCATCCATGTCTCCATGCCTTATTTTGCTGAGCAATCACTTAGCAAAACAGCCTTCTAGCATTTCTGGTCACGGCCATCTTAACTAAGGGCAGATAAATGTACTTTCTGGAATCTGCAATCCATCTGCCTTAGCTGAAAAAGCCCCTCCTGAAGACTTCTGGGATGTATGACGTTATTTTTCTGGGCATGGAAACCAGGAAGTAACTGAAGAAATCTAAAAAAAAAAAAGTTTAAAACAAATACAAAATACTTTCCTATTTATTTGCTAATGTTAGCAGCATAAGGATTATAAATGTCAATGTTGATTGAGAGAGTGAAGTTCCACTTTAATGTCACTTTCTCAGACTGCTTGTGATTATACAAGTTGTGTTTTAGGGCTTTCTAAATCTAAAACTGATCACTCCTGTTTTCGAGTCCTTTATGAATAATGTAATATGTAACCGAGACTGGAAGAGAGATTTTATATTTGTCCTCTGTATTTTCATAAAATAAGAATAGAACTTAGACTCAGAGTGCTAGGTACAGCTTCTAGAAGCACAGTAGCTTTGCTTACATTGGCTTTAACCAAGCTGGCCGAGCATAGTAATTTGCCTGTACTGGAGTGCCTCAACATTAATGTGCAGCCCCTGATGTGAGCATTTGCTCATATAGGAGCTGATGTATAAATTATGGGGCAAATAAAACCAGTTGTGCAAAGGAACCAGATTCTCATCCATTTTTGCAGTGAAAAATGGGCTAAGTTTAACTACTCTCTTTTTCAATACCCCCCTCAAATTCAATATGCTCTGCATATAGTTTAGTATGCCCATTTCCACCCACTTATTTTTTCTGAACTGTTTTGGATGGACTTTCTCTCTCTATTCATAGGGGTGGCTCAGAGTGCATTTAACACAGTGGGACGTGTGTTCTTACAGGGGATATGTCTGTTTTAGGCAATATGTTTAGCTTTTGACATGCGCTATATAGTTTTACTACTCCACAGGGAAATTTGTATAAATAACTCAAAAGTGGCCTTTTATCTGCATCTCTTAGTGCATTTCTGAAAATAAAATATGAAAAGTGTACAGTTTTTAGGCTTTTAATCTTGGTACTTAGCAACTCGCACAGAACGCACGCAGCTGCTCTCCTGAATAACATGCTTTGTTGTCTGCCTACTTCTTTTTGAATGTTGTGAATTGCTGCCAGTACGACAAATGCAAACCCACTTGTACACCATTGTTTGTCTCATTTCTTGTATTCTGTGATACAGCACTTGAGATACCTTTTTGATTTCAGCTGAGCCATGTTTAAAAGCTTTAGGTTTCTGAAACTGCAGGAAAAGTTGCATGTAGTTGTAATGACGAGAACATGGACTCATTTTGGTGGCCAATTGCGTTTTCAATGATGTAGCGCTTCCTAATGTCTTATACAAAAATGTGTTTTGCCTCCAAAATGAGCTAAAAAGTGGCAATGCCTACCATTCTTTGCAAGATATTGTAAAAGAAAAAAAATTGCAGGTGCTCTTTAGATTACATAGGTTATGTTTATGTCTGCTAGGAAGAGTGGTTAAATGACAGACTTTTACATTGGTGTATTTAGTTGCTTTGTTTCTTTCTACAGCCTTTAAAGAAAGGCGAGAAAGAGAAAAAGAAAAGCAATTTGGAGCTTTTCAAAGAAGAACTCAAACAGTAAGTATTAGTATGTGTATGAATATTTAAATAATTTTTATTGCAAATCATCTCACAGACTGGTATGTCATTTAACGAGAGATACAGGCATGCAGTGTTGTTTTTTTTTTTTTTGGCTTTGTTCTCTGAAAACCTCTTCTTAGTAATGTAATATGGCCTATTTTTCAAATTGTCAGGAAGGAAGTCACATATGAGGTTTTCCTGAATTTGATTTAAAGCCCAAATCCAATAAAAATTAAAACTCCTCCCTTGTAGTAAAGTGATTTTACAGTCTAAGGGACAGTAAAAGCAGTTTTGCTTGCATGATCCTCTGCTTCCCTGGCAGGTGGCACTCCCTCATGCTTTGGTTGTGGACTGTCCTTGGGCCTTCTCATGTCCTGTGCAGGGCTATGGACCCTGCCTTGGTATTGATTACATCAGATGATCTTAAATTCCATGGGAAAAGAGGCTGCTGGGATTGATCTAGCAGTGTGGAGGAGCTTGCAAGTGTGGAGGTTTCAATCAATAAAAACTTATTTTCCATTTCTCCCATAACTAAAGGTGCATTTAAAGTGATACTAAACCCAGAACCCTTCATTCACTATACCTGGTCTCCCACAGTACACACAACATGGAAATTCAATTATTTTAGTAAACCTAAACTACTAAATACCTTTTCTCATCAGCAGTTAGAGCAGTCTTGTGACTTCAGCAGAGCACTCGTTAAAGCTTGTAGGAGTTTTCTTTCTGCTCTAGGAGGATGTGAAACCTCTGACCCTCTGTCTGGACAGTGCTGATTGGCCCTGTGCTAATTACATGCACCCTCCCAAGGAAAAAAAAAAAATCTCTCTAGCAATACACACCAAACTGAGCATGTGCATGTGACCACGGGTTCAGTCTGTATCAGTTGGTCATTTCAACAAGAGAGGAGGGGCAGAGAAGAAGGGATCAAACATCTTTTTTACACAATGCAGTGGTTTAACCCCTTAGGTTCCACAGTGAGTATAACAAGCATGCTTTACTGCATATACAGACTGATTTTACTGTTGTGGGTTTAGTAACACTTTAAACCCTTGCAGTGCTGGCACAGCCCCACTGCAAGGGAGGAGTTTGTTTTCCTGGAGCTCAGTTGCTGGGGCACCCATTAGCCTAGGCACATAGTCTCCAGCATGGTAAAGCATGTTCCCAAATATACACAGCACTAACCTTTTTTTTTTTTTTTTTGTCTCAGAGATATTTGTTTATTGTTCTAAAATCTGTTTGTTTTAAATTAGAACTACAAGCAAAACTTTTTTTTTTTTTTTTTCAATTTCGGATATAGCAAGGAAGGGTTACAGCCCCTGACAGTTTTTTTTGCCACCTGTGTCCCATTGGAGAGACTCATCCTCTCTTCCTGTCCCATAGCCGAAACAGTTAGCGAGAAAATCTCTGCAAATCAAGGGAATTCCTTGGCTTCAACTCCCCCCCACCTGACAAATTTCCTCTTTTGGTTTTCTGGGGACAACCCAAAATTGGAGTTTAACTTCACTTTTGATGATGGTGGTAAACAGGACAAATAGAGAGAGTGAATCGCCCTAGCGGAGGCACAGATGGCAATACAACCTGACAAGTTGTTCTAACCCATCATCACTAAAAAAAAAGTTTTGCCTTTAGTTATACTTTAATATTTTGTTCTGTGGAGCAGAAAACCGCAGTTTCCAACCCTAATAATAATATAAGGTCTGAAGGACACATTTTTTATTCCTGTTTTCTTCTCATAATATAAAATTGTTGTAGGATTCAAGAAGAGAGAGATGAGCGACACAAAACAAAAGGCAGAACAAGCAGATTTGAACCTCCACAAGTAGACGCCGATGGACAGCGAAGGCCAAGTAAGAAAAGCTACATTTTTGTGATGTTTTGTTGGAGTTGCTAGTATTGCATTTATTTATGAAATAGAAATCTTGTGAGGCACCAATTAATTATAAGACAGGTTCGTCAGCACCAAACACATACTCCAATGTGCATAAAAATTCAACAAATATCACAATGGTGCCGCGCTCCTAATTGTTATTAATTAAATATCATATAAAATTGTTTTAAATTAAATCCATATAATAGTGTAAAAACACAATATATATATATATATATATATATATATATATATATATATATATATATATAATAAAATGAAGTGCACCCATAAAGTGAAATAATAGTCAATATTCAATGTGCACAAAAAATATAAACATGATTGATGATAAATGAGTGATAAATAAATCAGTCTCTGGTGATACTGGTGAAAAATTCCAGGTGATGTGAACTCCAATTCCCAGTGACTTGAATAATGATCTTATTATACGCTCACCTCATATAAAGCCTATAAATAGGCTAAAAACGCTTGTGTTCCCCAAATGGGACTATATCCTTGAGTTGCACCGTAGCAGTAATGGTGATTACTCCTTAACAGCGTAGCAGTAATGGTGGTTAGAAGTCCTTATCTGCATGCTTGTTCTGGGGAAATGGCTGAAATATTGTTACAGTGGAGGTCGGCATGACAGTCAGACAGAGCTAGCATCCTTAGGTGGAGAGAGCAAAGACTGTCTCTCTGTTATGAAAGCTGTAAATTTTTAATTGATCCTTTACTAATTCGGCCTGTTTTTGGTATTAATTTTGTTGTCTTTTTCTTTTAAGTGGATCAACAGTCAAGAAGAAACAGATCCTCTGGTGGTATTTTATTTAGTATATTTATTATTTAGTATTTTTTTTCTTTTGATCCCTTAATAGTAACTGTTTTTTTTTTTTTCTTTACTTTAAGCTCTTGATGACTATGCTCCTGGGTCGCATGATGTGGGTGATCCAAGTACAACTAATCTTTATCTTGGGAACATCAACCCTCAGGTACCTAATTTGTAATACTGTTCTGCCCTAAAAATTGTCTAATTTAACATTACTGGAAACGTGTAGACAGCTTGTGGAATCTGCAAATATCAGTTACCAATTCTGTGCCACTGTAGAGTCTCTGCATGTCAGGGTCCAGGGTATTTACATCTGTCCAAGGAGGCACTGAGCCTCACCCACCCATGTGCTAAGCTCCATATGTACTGCCAGAATCTTAGTGGCCAGTAGAACGCTCACATTTGCCAAATGGCAGTATTTGTTTTTTGGGATTTGTTTTAGTCCAGGGTGGTGGCGGAGCATAGTGCTGACTAACAGGCAACACCTGGGATCCAGATTTTCAGGAATTGGTTTGACTAAACTAAAGTTCGCCATACACTTAAACGATTCCTCCACATTAAACCGCACAGGTGGGTGAACATCCTGTTGTGGCTATTGTATTTTGACAGGCATCGCCATTGGCTGCCAGAATACCCAAACAATGTATGCATCTAGGCCCTGTCAGCTTTTGCCCTCTCCACTGTGTCCAAAACCTTTTTTTTTTTTTTTTTAGTTCAGAAACAATGAAAAGGTGAACTAACGTAGTATATCCTCCTCACCCCCTGGTCTCCGCTGTACCTACTGTCGGGGATGCTGAGCTGTCAGTGCCACTGGTCTAGTGGTCTGAAGATTTGAAATTCCTGCTCTTCTCCCTCTCTGTGTGCAGCTCTTCCAGGACAGACCAGAGCAATTTACTGTGCAGGCACTCACCAATCCGCACCACTCTGGTCCATCCCAGAAGAGAAGAGGAAGAAGAGCAGGGATTTCAAATCCCCCGCTAGCTGGACAGGCTGCAAGGGCACTAACTGCTCAGCATCTCTTAAGGTAAGTACAGCAGGGATTGGGGGGTAGGGAGGATGTACAGTGTTAGATCACCTTTTAAAAAAAAAACACTTTAGGTGTATTAAAAAAAACAAAAACTCTGCTTGGAGACTGAAGAGCATTTAGTTTGGCAAAGCATTCTGTATTACAAACAAATGTCTCAAACCTACAGTATATTACAGCACGTTTTCATCCTTTGTTGCAGCCTAGTGCTGCTGATCTTCTGCAGTCTTTTGCAGCCACTTCCTGTGTACTTGCAATCTCCAGGATTGGTTGCACGTCATTACTCAGCAGCTTCCTGATAGTGACAACACAGTATGCCTTGTGTGTCACCATGGCTGCTTGTAGTCGGCATTGGCTTAGGGTGTCATGGGACATGTAGTCCTGGGCAGAAGGAAGTTGTGTAAGGGCTCTGTGCTGGGAAGATCAGTATCTGAACTTAGAGAAGCTGCTAGACTAGTTGTAAACTAAAGCAGTGCAATTAAATGTAAAGCTGCAAACATCCTGGAGGACAAGCATGGGGTGGACCAGTATCTGCTGCACTGACCACGCCTTGCAGCTAGTGATTAGTGCTACGTGAAAGAATTTAGGAACTTAGCTGTTAATGCTGTAAGAGGACTAGTCGAACATTGTAAGCACTTTAATACCATGCTATAGCCGAAAGATGGCTACAGCACGGTTCTCTTGTTCTGGGAGGGCATTTATAGCTGTCCCTGTGTGCGCCCCCTGGGGCATAAATTTGGAGTGCTCTGTGACCTTGAAGAAAAACTACTTATTTGCAAAATTTTATAACCGAAACAAAGAAAAAATGTTGTGTTTTTTTTTTTTGTCAAAATATTTGGTCTTTTTTTGTTTAGTAAAAAAAAAAAAAAACCCAGTGGTGATTTAAATGCCACCAAAAGAGCTCTATCTGGTGATAAAAAAAAAAATAATTTGGGTACAGTGTTGCATGACCGCACAAATGTCATTCAAAGCGTGACAGCGCTGAAAATTGACCTGGCAAGGAAAGGGGTAAAAGTGCCCAGTACTGAAGTAGTTACAAGAAAAAAAAAAGTCTGCTAGCCAGCAGCAAATTAAAAGAGAAGCAGCAGTAAATGGGTATGTCCAGTGTTAATTTTGATGATGAAAATATTTGTCATAGTTTTTGCAAAAAAAAAAAAATTTTGTTTCAATTCAGATGACTAAATTGAGACTAAAACTAAAATGGCATTTTAGTCATAAGACTGTGACTAAAACTAAATCAAAATTTGACATTGCAATTAACACTGGGTATATCTGAGCACAAGCTTCTTCAATGTAGAATAGCACTTACTATATGGTTGACAGACTGGTGGCTTGTAACTGCAGTTCCCTGTGACCCAACAGTTACACAAAGGGGCAAGCATTTATCTGATCTTAAAACCAGACTAGTGGAGTATTCGTGAAGAACTTTCTACTGCTCTTAAGCCCTTTTTGAATGTGCTAATGTGTTCAGTGACTAAGAGTATATTGCATATAGTTACATAGTCTGGCTGAAAAAAGACAAAAGTCCATCCAGTTCAACCATAGGAAAAAAAAAAGTTATAATCCTATACCCACAGTTGACCCAGAGGAAGGCAAAAAAAAACCCCCAGCAAAGCACGATCCAATTTGCTCCTGCTGGGAAAAAAAATTCCTTTCTGATCCCCCGAGAGGCAATCGAAATATTTCCTGGATCAACTTTACCTATAATTGTTAGTATTCAGTTATATTTTGTGTATCTAAGAGAGAATCCAGGCCTTTTTTGAAGCAATCTACCGAGCTGGCCAGAACCAACTCTTGAGGGAGTCTATTCCACATTTTCACAGCTCTCACTGAAGAAACCTTTCCGTGTTTGGAGATTAAATTTCTTTTCCTCCAGATGTAAAGAGTGCCCCCTTGTCCTCTGTGATGACCTCAGGGTGAATGACTCTACACCGAGTTCACTATATGAACCACTGATGTATTTATACATGTTGATCATATCCCCCCTTAATCACCTCTTCTCAGTAGAGATTAATTTCAGTTCCTCTAATCTTTCCTCATAGCTGAGCTCCTCCATGCCTCGTATCAGTTTAGTTGCCCTTCTCTGTACTTTTCTCAAGTTCCCCAATGTTCTTTTTGTGAATTGGTGCCCAAAACTGAACTGCATATTCCAGATGAGGTTTTACTAATGATTTGTACAGGGGTAAAATTCTCTCTCTCCCCCCCCTCCCCCCCCCCCCCCCTCTCTCTCTCTCTCTCTCTCTCTCTCTCTCTCTCTCTCTCTCTCTCTCTCTCTCTCTCTCTCTCTCTCTCGTCTATACCTCTCGTCTATACCTCTTTTAATACAAGAGAGGAATTTTAGCCTTAGAATATCGTGCAAAAGTTCATTTATTTCAGTAATGCAACTTAAAAGGTGAAACTAATATGAGATAGACTCATTACATGCAAAGCAAGATAGTGCAAACCGTGATTTGTCATAATTGTGATCATTATGGTTTACAGCTCATGAAAACCCCAATTCCACAATCGCAGAAAGTTAGAATATTGTGAAAAGGTGCAATATTCTTGGCTCAAAGTGTCCCACTCTAATCAGCTAATTAAGCCATAACACCTGCAAAGGGTTCCTGAGCCTTTAAATGGTCTCTCAGTCTGGTTCAGTAGGAATCACAATCATGGGAAAGACTGCTGACCTGACAGTTGTGCAGAAAACCATCATTGACACCCCCTGAAAGGAGGGAAAGCCTCAAAAGGTAATTGCAAAAGAAGTTGGATGTTCCCAAAGTGCTGTATCAAAGCACATTAATAGAAAGTTATGTGGAAGGGAAAAGTGTGGAAGAAAAAGGTGGATCCTGGACATGGGCTTCAAATGTCGTATTCCTCTTCTCAAGCCACTCCTGAACAACAAACTTCGTCAGAAGCGTCTTACCTGGGCTAAAGAAAAACAGACCTGGTCTGTTGTTCAGTGGTCCAAAGTCCTCTTTTCTGATGAGAGCAACTTTTGCATCTCATTTGGAAACCAAAGACCCAGAGTATGGAGGAAGAATGGAGAGGCACACACTGCAAGATGCTTGAAGTCCAGTGTGAAGTTTCCACAGTCTGTGTTGATTTGGGGAGCCATGTCATCTGCTGGTGTTGGTCCACTGTGCTTCATTAAGTCCAGGGTCAACGCAGCCATCTACCAGGAGATTTTGGAGCACTTCATGCTTCCTTCCGCAGACGAGCTTTATGGGGATGCTGACTTAATTTTCCAGCAGGACTTGGCACCTGCCCACGCTGCCAAAAGCACCAAAACCTGGTTCAATGACCGTGGGATTACTGTGCTTGATTGGCCAGCAAACTCGAATGACCTGAACCCCATAGAGAATCTATGAGGCATTGCCAAGAGAAAGATGAGACATGAGACCGAACAATGCAGAAGAGCTGAAGGCTGCTGTTGAAGCATCCTGGTCTTCCATAACACCTCAGCAGTGCCACAGGCTGATAGCTTTCATGCCACACCGCATTGAGGCAGTAATTGCTGCAAAAGGGGTCCAAAGCAAGTACTGAGTACATATGCATGCTTATACTTTTCAGAGGTCCGATATTGTTCTATGTACAATCCTTGTTTTATTGATTGCATGTAATATTCTAATTTTCTGAGATTGTGGATTTGGGGTTTTCATGAGCTGTAAGCCATAATCATCACAATTATGACAAATCACGGCTTGAACTATCTTGCTTTGCATGTAATGAGTCTATCTCGCTGTCCAGTGAGAGTGCTTCTTTTGAATCCTTTGCGCTAAAAGGCATCCAAGTCACTGCAACAGGCCAGCTTCAAGCAGATGAAAGGGGATCATTAAGGGGTCCCTAACACTGTAATTCTTGCTCAGGACTCAAGATTTAGAAGATTATCAACTTGTCCTCTGGAAGGATTTACCCCCTTCCTGACCAAACCATTTTTTTTAAATTTGTCAATTGCTCAGTATGCAACACGAAATTTAGATAATTTTTTTTTTCACATTAGATTTCTTTTGGTGGCAGTATTTTTTACTGTTATAAAACTTACCCAATAAAAAAAAAAAATAAATCTCCTAATACATTCTGGCCAAAATATATTCTGCTACATGTCTCTGGTAATAAAAAAAAAAAATTCCTAATAAGTGTGTATTGGTTGGATTGCATGAAAAGATCTAGCATCTACAAACTATGGGATATATTATTGGAATTTTTACTACTATGGGGGGGGGGTGATCAGTGACTTATAACGGTACTGCAATAGTGCCACGGGTAATCTGACACTAAAAGACTCTGGTGGGAACTGACTAACTGCCATTGACATCACCAGTGACATTAATACAGTGGTCTGCACATATTAAATTCTGTCACTGTAATAATGACACTGGGTAGGAAGGGATTAACATCTAGGGTGATCAAGGGGTTAACTGTGTGCCTAACAATGGGTAATGTGTGTAATATGTGCTGCTTTTACTAAGGATCTTGTTATTTTTATTCCCTGCTTAGCATGGTATAGCAGCAAATATTCACTTAACCTGTAACTTGAGTTGCTGTACCCTCAACATCTGCAGCATCTCTGCTTGACCCACTCCTTTAATCTGGGTGCAGCAGTGAGCAGTAGACTAAAGAAAGGCAACTTGAGGAGGATATTAATAGTCAAGTAAAGTGAAGTCCAGGCTTATTTTACAGTGAAGCCCTTTGCCAAGGAGAAAAACCATTTAAATTGGTGGAAGAGTAACTAAGAAATATTGTACCTTGAAAAAACCTAGCAAAATCCTACTTGTGTACCCCAGGTACCTCTGTCATCAGAGCGACCATTCTCTGCTGCCAGCAACATAGTTTGTAAAAAGTTAATTTAAAAAAAAAATAAATAAAAAGCCATCCTCAGCCCCGACCATGTGGACTTATTACCGCTCTTACATTCCACTTCAAAGTTTTTACAACATTTGTAGTCCACCTCTTTTCAGAAGGTTTTTTTTCTGCCTTTTTATCCACTTGCCCTCCAGAAGATTTACCCCCCTTTCCTGACCAGGCCATTATTTTGCGGTATGGCTCTGCGTTACTTTAGTTGACAATTGCACAGTCATACAATGCTCTACATAAAATTTGTCATTTTTTTTTCCCCACAAATAGAGCTTTCGTTTAGTGGTATTTGATCACCTCTGCAGTTCAGTTCATTTTTTTTGCACTATAAATGAAAAAAAACACTGACATTAAAAAAAAAAAAGCCAAAATATATTCTGCTACATATTTCTGTTAAAAAAAAAAAATCACAAGCATATATTGGTTGCTGCAAAAGTTATAGCGTCTACAAATGGCGGTTTATATATACTGGAATTTTTTTTATTTTAATGTATATACAGTTGGGTCCATTTATATTTGGACACAGGCACAATTTTAGTTTTTTTTCAGGTATTGACCAAAACATATTCAAACTATAGTTATATAATGGATATGGGCTGAAAGTGCGCACTCTCAGTTTTAATTTGAGGGTATGTACATCCAAATTGGAGGAAGGTTTAGGAATTACAGCTCTTAAGAGTAGATACCCCCCCCCCTTTTTTTCAAGGGATCGAAAGTAATTGGACAATTTAATCAAAAGCTGTTTCATGGCCAGGTGTGGGCTACTCCTTCGCTATTTCTTCATCAGTTAAGCAGGTAAAAGGTCTGGAGTTGATTCTAATGCAAATACCGATTGTGGTATTTGCATTTGGAATCTATTGCTGTGAACCTACATCAGGCGTTCAAAGGAGCTGTCCATGCAAGTGAAACAAGCCATTGTAAGGCTTCAAAAATGAAACCAATCCATCAGAGAGATGGCAGCAACATTAGGAGTGGCCAAATCAACAGTTTGGTACATTATGAGGAAAGAGGAACGCACTGGAGAGCTCGGCAACATAAAAAGGCATGGACGTCCACAGAAGACAACAGTGATGGATGATCATAGGATCCTCTCTATGGTAAATAAAAACCCATTCACAACATCCAGACAAGTGAAGGACACTCTCCAGGAGATGGGTGTGTATCATTGCCAAAGTCTACGATCAAGTGAAGACCTCACGAGAGTAAATACAGAGGGTTCACCACAAGGTGCAAAACCATTCATAAGCCTGAAGAATAGAAAAGCCAGATTAGACTTTGCCAAAAAACATAAAAAAAAAAAAAAAAAAGCCAGACCAGTTCTGGAAAAGCAGTCTTTGGATGGATGACACAAAGATTAATCTGTACCAGAATGACGGAAAGAAAAAAGTGTGGAGAAGGCTTGGAACAGCTCATGATTCAAAGCACACAACATGATCTGTAAAACATGGTGGAGGCAGTGTGATGGCATGGGCATGCATGGCTTCCAGTGGCCCTGGACCATTGGTGTTTATTAATGATGTGACAGAAGCAGCCGGATGAATTCTACAGTGTTTAGAGATATACAGGTGAAACTCGAAAAATTAGAATATCGTGCAAAAGTTCATTTATTTCAGTAATGCAACTTAAAAGGTGAAACTAATATATGAGAGAGACTCATTACATGCAAAGCAAGATAGTTCAAGCCGTGATTTGTCATAATTGTGATGATTATGGCTTTGAAAACCCCAAATCCACAATCTCAGAAAATTAGAATATTACATGCAATCAATAAAACAAGGATTGTACATAGAACAATATCGGACCTCTGAAAAGTATAAGCATGCATATGTACTCAGTACTTGCTTTGGACCCCTTTTGCAGCAATTACTGCCTCAATGCGGTGTGGCATGAAAGCTATCAGCCTGTGGCACTGCTGAGGTGTTATGGAAGACCAGGATGCTTCAATAGCGTCCTTCAGCTCTTCTGCATTGTTCGGTCTCATGTCTTTCTCTTGGCAATGCCCCATAGGTTCTCTATGGGGTTCAGGTCATTCGAGTTTGCTGGCCAATCAAGCACAGTAATCCCATGGTCATTGAACCAAGTTTTGGTGCTTTTGGCAGTGTGGGCAGGTGCCAAGTCCTGCTGGAAAATGAAGTCCGCATCCCCATAAAGCTCGTCTGCGGAAGGAAGCATGAAGTGCTCCAAAATCTCCTGGTAGATGGCTGCGTTGACCCTGGACTTAATGAAGCACAGTGGACCAACACCAGCAGATGACATGGCTCCCCAAATCAACACAGACTGTGGAAACTTCACACTCGACTTCAAACATCTTGCAGTGTGAGCTTCTCCATTCTTCCTCCATACTCTGGGGCCTTGGTTTCCAAATGAGATGCAAAAGTTGCTCTCATCAGAAAAGAGGACTTTGGACCACTGAGCAACAGACCAAGTCTGTTTTTCTTTAGCCCAGGTAAGACGCTTCTGACATTGTTTGTTGTTCAGGAGCGGCTTGACAAGAGGAATACGACATTTGAAGCCCATGTCCAGGATTCGTCTGTGTGTGGTGGCTCTTGATGCACTGACTCCAGCCTCAGTCCACTCCTTGTGAAAGTCCCCAACACTTTTGAATGGCCTTTTCCTGACAATCCTCTCCAGGCTGCAGTCATCCATGCTGCTTGTGCACCTTTTTCTTCCACACTTTTCCCTTCCACATAACTTTCTATTAATGTGCTTTGATGCAGCACTTTGGGAACATCCAACTTCTTTTGCAATTACCTTTTGAGGCTTTCCTCCTTATGGAGGGTGTCAATGATGGTTTTCTGCACAACTGTCAGGTCAGCAGTCTTTCCCATGATTGTGATTCCTACTGAACCAGACTGAGAGACCATTTAAAGGCTCAGGAACCCTTTGCAGGTGTTATGGCTTAATTAGCTGATTAGAGTGGGACACTTTGAGCCAAGAATATTGCACCTTTTCACAATATTCTAATTTTCTGAGATTTTGCATTTGGGGTTTTCATTAGCTGTAAGCCATAATCATCACAATTATGACAAATCACGGCTTGAACTATCTTGCTTGCATGTAATGAGTCTATCGCATATATTTCACCTTTTAAGTTGCATTACTGAAATAAATGAACTTTTGCATGATATTCTAATTTTTTGAGTTTCACCTGTACTGTCAGCCGATATTCAGCCAAATGCAGCAAAGTTGATTGGATGGCACTTCACAGTACAGATGGACAATGATCCAAAACACACTGAAAAATCAACTTTTACATCCACTTAAAGTCAGTGTTAATCTAAAAAAGCCCCAGGTAGGCACATCCAATGCACATGAGCTATAATGTTACACAAGGGTAAAGAAATTGTTATAACATGCAGAAGGGTATCAGATACTATTAGGCAACACCTCAGTGGCTCAATATACTGTAAATGGGGACTTAATGGGGTTTGTTTGTTTCTTTTTTATTTGTGTTTTTTTTTAAATTTTGCCTTCTTGATCAGAATTAATTTTTTTCCAGGCTTTTTCGTTGTGATGACAATTACTAAAGGATCAAAGATACTTAATGTTTTAATTAAAATGTTTCTTGAATTTTTAGATGAACGAGGAGATGTTGTGTCATGAATTTGGAAAGTTTGGGCCATTGGCTAGTGTTAAAATCATGTGGCCACGGACAGATGAGGAGAGAGCACGGGAAAGGAACTGTGGCTTTGTTGCATTTATGAATAGGCGTGATGCAGAGAGAGCTTTGAAAAACTTGAATGGTAAGAGTACCTTTTACCAGATAAGGATTTTCCTGCTATTTTCTTCAACAGACCTTAGGTGCAGACCAAGAAAACTTCCCTTGATTGCTGGGCATTGTTTACTTCTGGAGTTGAAGGGTACTGTGCCTGGACATGAAGTATAAAGCCTGTCCTTGAAGCATGCTCTGAGCTGGAGACTAAGACAGTCATTATTCTGCACTGATGCATGTACAACAATTTTAGAGCTCCAAAAGATTTTAAACTTTATTCTTCCCTCGGAAGGCTGGGTAGTAGTAAGTTCCTTGCATTCTCTGTCTGCGGTCTGTATTGCTGACAAGGAAGTTGATGAGAAAGCCGGATGGCAGGGTCATGGGATTTACATTTAACATGCACTGTATAATGTTCTTGTACATCTATAGCCATCCATAGATGGTCAGGCATGTCTGCACAATCTTTGTATTTTTAGTTACTGGTGCATAAGCATATATGCTCATATCAAAGACATGCATGATTCTGTGCAGAAAAAAAAACAGACCAAGCAATAGATTTTCCCCTGGCTTTATTCTTCTGAAACCTTAGGCTTTATACACATGGGCGCTCAGGCCTGTATACTGTGAATCGGCTGTTTAAATGGCCAGGGCCACAGGATGTCTATATAAATATGTGGGAAGGCAGCCGCTGTACAGACACAATCATTTGTCCAATAGGCGCTTCGGTCTCTCTCTCTCTCTCTCTCTCTCACTCACTCACTCACTCACTCACTCACTCACTCACTCACTCACTCACTCACTCTCACACTCACACACACACACGCTGTTGGCGTTTAGGACCACTCTCCTGCACTCATATCAAATTATGAAAAGCTGCTGTGTGCATACAGCGATTGTGTCCCAATGGACTTGTATAGGCTGCTTGAACAAGGTGGCTCCAGCCCCATAAACAGTCAATTCACGGTGAACTGGCCTCAGCACCCATCTGAATTAGGCTGTCAATGACTTTACAGCAGAGACACTCTCTTGACAGCCCAAATAGGAAGTTAAAATCACACTAGATTTCTTGGAGATCAAAATGTATTTGTACTTGTAGTGTTTTTAAAAGTGTTAAAACATGGGGAAAAGTGCATGCGTTGTAAATGTTTTTTTTATTTTATTATGCTCAGACATACACTTTAAAGCCCCATTAATATCTGGCATTTTGGGATCTCAGGTTTGGCTTTGCCATGATAAATCGTGGCAAACAGCATTGCTTGAAGCTTGTCCCCCAAAAGAAGCTTCTGCACATTTGTGGACGACAAACTTTGCGTGATGTGGTGCAGTGTGATTTTATCATGCGACAATCACAGCAGAGCCGCACTACGTTTAGGTGCCATTTAAAGTGAATGGGACCTGAAAATGCACAGTGCATTTTTCCACTATTGCAGTGTGATTTAAGATCATGGACAGAATCGCAGTCATGTTACATTTTACACCCATATTTAGGGTGTAGCATGTTCTGCAAGTCCCATCTGCCGCTGCGGCAGTATTTTGAGTAGGCCCCCAAGGGTACTGATCACCATGCTCGTAGTCCATTTACACTCCTTCCAGCCTGACAGCGCATACAGAGATACGAGCTGAAAACTGGAGGGAGTGTGTATTAGCCTGCTTAGAAGACTTTACAGGCTCCTGTTTAAAAAAAAAATAAATAAATAAATGCACATTTTTTAAGCTGCAAAAATATGTGCATTTGTTATTTTGTAATCTGTGACAGAGTGTAGAGAGTGAGAATTGTATGATAAATGAGACATACACCTTCTCCTGGGGTACGTCACAAGATGGAGACCCCCCCCCCCCCCTGCTTTCTACAAAAACTGAAGCCTTACCGGATGGGGAGGGGTTATGCCTAGTGGGGACTTCAGTTTTTTGTTTTTTCCCTTTTTTATTTTTTTTGCCAGTGTCCAATCAACTGAAGGTAGATATATAACTCTATTGTAATGGATATGAAGATGCTCGTTACCCTGGGATGTACTCAAAGGAAAGGACTTTACAGTTAAACCAAAAATCTATTTTTTTTAAACAAGGTTAAAAGGGGATCTGCAATCTTGAAGAAAATGTAGTGTAGGTGGAGTGTGCTCAAAGCAGGCTTTGCCTTTTGGGTTTTAGGATAGTAATGTTCCTGTCCATTGTAGGTACAAGTACATTATCTCACATAAGTGAGTTGGACATTTTCACTTAGGGGTGTACTTGCTTTTGTTGCCAGCGGTTTAGACATTAATGGCTGTGTGATGAGTTATTTTTAGGGGACAGCAAATTTACACTGTTATACAAGCTGTACACTCACTACATTGTAGAAAAGTGTCATGTTTTCAGTGTTGTCATGTGAAAAGATAGAATAAAATATTTACAAAAATGTGAGATACTGTATGTCCTCGGATGGGAAGGGTGATATCTTGGTTATTGCTGCAGCAGTGGTTGAGAGATTATTTTTTTTTTTTGCAGGAGATTCCCTACATAGAAAAAATCCAAGTGGCTATACAGCTGCTGGATCACTTTTACAGGCAGCTGGAGGCAGTTACCCCCCTGCCGCCATCTGTCTTCTTTACTGGGCTCTCCTGAGCAATTGAGGAGCCCAGTATTGCCGGTGTGCTGAGGGGAGAAAGATACATCCGTACCTGCCTCCTCTCAGTGATGTGAGAAACCGGAAGCAGCCTTTTCAGTTTGTTTTTTTACAAACTATTACCAAGTTGTTAGCGCATCTGATCAAACTGATCTTGGTTTGTTCAGATAGTTTGGAGGACAGAGGGGAGATATGAGATCTAAAAAAAAATCCCCAGATCTGTTTATAAACAGGGTCTGTCATGGTGCTTATGCCTTGTGATAGCAATAAAGTTCAATTGAATGCAAATGTAAACGGTGATCGCAAAACTCATGTGAGATCACCAGGAGCATCCGCATGGGAGCAATAATTCCAGTGCCAAACCTAAAGTGGTAACTTGGAAAGGCTTTTAAAGTGCTGGCTATGGAGATTTTTAGGTACTGTAGTTTGGTGCCATTTCACAGGCGTCTGCCATTTTAAACGTGTGCATGGTAATTATCTATTTACTCGACATAACATCAATTTTTATGTTTTACTAAAAATTGGGCGCTTGTGTGTCCTAAAATTCATTTAAGTGCACTTTTTCCTGAAAATGTGTTTGATAAACTGCAGCACAAATATCATGCAACATGAAAATTGCAACAACTGTTTTATATTCCAAGGTCTCTGCTTAAATAAAAAAAAAAAAAAAAACAAAACACATATAGATATAGATACAGATAGATAGATAGATATATATATAGATATATAGATAGATATATATATATGTGAGATAGATATATAGATATATATATATATATATATATATATATATATATATTATAGTAGTTTTCTAGCAAAAAATGCAGATTTTTAAATGTACAGCTGGTAAAATAAGTAATGAACATGTCACCATTTTTCTCAGTAAATATATTTCGAAAGGCGTTATTGACATGCAATTTTTCATCACGTCGGTAACAAGCCATACATACAAAGAAACCAAAACAAATAAGTTTAGAAATTAAGTTATGTGTAATAAAATGGAATGACACAGGGAGGTGCAAAAATGTATGGAAAACCAAGACACCAGCTGAAATCTATCAGTAATGAGAAAGCAATCCTGCCCCTCGTCAGTGCAAACACTTCAGGTTAAGGCTGGCCATACATTATACAATTATCTGCAGATTTTCTGCCCAATTTCCTTTAGATTTACCTTCAACTATGTAGTGCAAGGGCCTGCCTAATTGGATACAACTGAAAGTGTTGTTTAGGTTTGTCCTCCTATTATATGGTTTTTGGTAAATCTAAACCAAAAATCTGCAGATAATTGTATAATGTATGGCCAGCCTTAGTCTCAAACTGTTGGCCTATAAAAAAAAGTGTCTCATTACTAAGGTGTCACACAAAAACGAGAAAAGGAAAGAGCTCTCTCAAAACCTTTGCAACTTTATCGTTGCAAAACATACTGATGGCATAGGTTACAGAAGGATTTCTCAACTTCTGAATGTACCAGTGAGCACTGTTGGGGCCATAATCTTGAAGTGGAAAGAACATAATTTCACCATAAACCGGCCATGACCAGGTGCTCCTCACAAGATTTCTTACAGGGGGGTGAAAAGAAAAGTTCTCAGAAGAGTTGTTCAAGAGCCAAGGACCACTTGTGGAGAGCTTCAGAATTGGAATTAGCAGGTACAGTTGTTTCAATGAAAACCATAAGTAATGCACTCAACCGCCATGGCATGTATGCATGCTCACCATACAAGACTCCATTTCTGAAGAAAAAGCATGTTGAAGCTTGTTTAAAGTTTGCTGCACAACATTTAGACAAGCCTGTGAAATACTGGAAGAATATAGTCTGATCAGATGAGACCAAAAATTTAACTCTTTGAATGCCATAATAGACACCATGTTTGGAGATCAAATGGCACTGCACATCACCCCAAAAACACCATACTAATAGTGAAGTTTGAAGATGGGAACATCATGATGTGGGGCTGTTTTTCAGCATACGGTACAGGCAAACTTCATTTCATTGAAGGAAGGATGAATGGAAAAATGTACCAAGGCATTCTTTAATAAAAATTTGCTACCATCTACCAGGATGATGAAGATAAAATAAGGGTGGACATTTCAGCAAGACACTGATCCCAAACACAGCCAAGGAAACTCTCTGTTGGTTTCAAAGAAAGAAAATTAAGCTGCTAGAATGGCCCAGTCAATCACTGACTTAAATCCAATAGAAAATGTAACGAACTAAAGATCAGAGTTCATAGAAGAGACCCACAGAACTTGAATTTGAAGACTCTATGGAAGAATGGGCCAAAATCACACCTGAACAATGCGTGCGACTAGTTTCTCCATACAGGAGGTGTCTTGAAGCTACCATTACCAATAAAGGATTTTGTACTAAGTGTTAAATAACTTTCAGTTTGCGTATTCAATACTTTTTCCCTGTGTCATTCCATTTTATTACTCATAACTTAATTTCTGAACTTATTATAGTTTTCGTATGTATGGATTGCATGGGTTGTTGCTGACATATGGTGCAAATTTCATGTCAATAGCCTTTAAAAATATTTACTGAGAAAAATGGTGGTTTTCAATACTTTATTTTAATATTTATATTTAATATTTTATTTTTTTTATGCATTTAATATTTTACCCGCTGTATGTGAGAGAAATGTCAGAATTTGCCTTGACTGGAAGTGTTTAAAGAAGTTAGTCTGTGGAAGAATTTTTCACAGTGATATGATCTGATGATGGTTTGCAGTTACAACATATCTTGCTCTTACAGTATGGTGAGTCAAACTCCAGGCAGAATAAAAACACAAACATAAATACCTTTGTAAATACAGTACCTACTGTAAATATACTTTGACATAAATCACTGGAAGAGGAAGGAAAAGCGCTAGGAACAAAGTCACAAAGTGAGAAGAATAGCACAGGAATGATCTTCTCAGTCAGCTGTTATGCCTTTATTATTCAGTGAGCAAGATTTTTGTTTTCTGGCATTTTTATTTAGTGTTATAGTGATGGTCAAGGACCTATTTGTTTTCTGGCATGAGTAGCTGCACTAAATTACCAAACCTCAGGTAAATAAGTCATACAATGCTGCTTGTCTAAACTGCAGCTTTAAAGCTGAACTCAGGGCACAAAACTTTTGTTTAAATATATTCTTCAGGCATATAAATCATCTTTATGAGCACCAAATGCCTTTGTAAAGGTATCTTCCTTGGAAAAGTAGCAGTGACATCACTGTGCTGTACATAGCTTTTGCGGAGAAGGAAGCTGTGGGGGGGGGGGACCCAACAGGCTCCACTGTCTACAGACTGCCTGCAGAAAATTACAGGAGGGGGTGGAGCCAAGACTAGTCACCCTGCACAAGGAGATCGCACAGTAGTGACTGGTCTTTATTACAGCAAGCTCCTGCACAGAGGTCAGTTTTCACACTGGATTACTGCACAGGTCTGGAAGAAATACACAAAGCACACAAAGATGTAAGAACACATGTTTTTTCTAGACAAACTTTTTTCTCTTGAGTTCAGCTTTAAAGGTGAAACTTACTAAATAAACCAAAAACAATTACTAGTAAAAAGAAATACTGCCTTAAAGTGTAACAAATGGCAAAATTATTTATTTTAATTTAGTGTTTGGTAGGAGAAGGCCACTTGTCTGTTTTTGCTTTTTTTTTTTTGTTTTTTTTTCTTGCCTCAGTGAGATTTGCCCTCTTTATTTGTACTGTTTTTGCTATAGATGTGGAAAGTGAAAGTAAAAGAAAAATTTACATCAGAATAGTACTAAAGGGAAAATCTTCCAATGGGGACACTAGTCCTGGTGACACCCAGGGATTCCGTCATTTTGGAGGGATTTCCTCTGACTCCTTTTTTTGACTTTCAGAAAGTGAAGGGAAATATCCCCCCATAAGCGACACAGATGAGTGAAAAAAAAAACCTGGCAGGTTATAACCCTCCCTTACAAATGATTCCATAATGGCGAAAAAAAGTTTTGCATTTAGTTACTTTGTTTCTCAACCTTCTCCTTCAGAGTATTATATGCTTTCACCTTTTTACGATCAGAGGTCATTTTGGCCTATATTCCCGGACCAGGATTAGAAGCGCAGTTAAAGTGTACCTAAATTCCCCCCCCCCCCCCCCCCCCCCCCCCCCCCCCCCCAAAAAAAAATAAAAAAAAATTTTGATCTAATTTGACATAGTTGCAGTTTACCAGTCATTCCATGCTGTGACTGTATTATTATTTTTTTAATTTTCAGGCTAGGAACATTTCTTGCAAGTACAGAAAATACCTGGTTATCTTGCCCTCAATGCAGTGTTCTTGTCACCTCCTGGGAGCTTAAAATACAGCACAAATAACCTTCTCTATTAATGTTTAAACAGCTAGTCCCATCAGTCCACCATATGTATAGATATACAAAGGCAGATATGTTTGAAGTTCAACCTGTGTGACATTCATGGCTGCCTCCATAGACAATGAAAGAAAACAAAAACACACAGGGACATACCCAGGTATACAAAGCCTGAAAAAATAATCACACCCACTGGTAAGGACAGGTAACGTGCAATAGATTTGTTTTTGGGTTAGACACATATAACTTTAACATTAGCGTTATGATTATTTTGCCCATTTAAATTTTTATATTGTGTATGGATATTTCAGGCTTTTATTGGGTACACTGTTTTAATGAATACAGTTTTTATTGTAGGCTGCCAAATTAAATAAAAAAAAAGTAAAATACAGTATTACTTTTTTCATTACTGTAACTATATTTGGCAATTACACTATTACATAGCTGCAATGGCATCTGAAGACTAGAGAAGTTTGTTAGTAAACCTGCATGTGGTCTGCATAATTTGGCTGTCATAGTAACAGTATGATTGGCAACAGATCACGAGGGTAAAACCTAGAGCTGTCACAGGCAGTTGGCTTTGGAGAACCTGTGCATTCCAAGTTGTCAGCAGGGACAGAATTACCTTCCTCATGAAGTAGGGACCCATGTCTAAGATGGGCAGTAAGCAGACTTGCAGACCCCTGAGAATTATTCTGTCTCTCTACCTCTTCTGTTCTGTAAATTTACATTTATTAATTGTAGGGGGGTTTATGGAATGGTGGTTAAAAATGTATATTTTCACTATTTTGATTTCAGGAAAAATGGTTATGTCTTTTGAAATGAAGCTGGGCTGGGGAAAAGCTGTGCCTATCCCTCCACACCCAATATATATTCCCCCATCTATGATGGAGCACACTCTACCACCTCCTCCATCTGGTCTGCCTTTTAACGCCCAGCCGAGAGAGCGCCTCAAGAACCCTAATGCTCCCTTGTTACCACCACCCAAAAATAAGGAGGAGTTCGAGAAGGTAATTAATGAATGTAACAATGTTTTCTCCTCATAACCAGTGGTGCTGGATACATTGATATATTTTACATACAGATAATAAAGGATTTTCTCTGCTCCATATATATATATATATTTAGTTATATACACACACACTTTTCTAAGCATTACTACATGGATCATGTGACCCATAAGGGTTAGTTTGATGTTCTTTCCAGGATTAGTAATAAAAAAATAAAGGTGTGACATTTATTGCATTGGACAAGTCATGTGATTTAGTTATTGATTAGCTGACTGGGTGCAGGTATGTGATTGTAGGAAGTTTATGGTTTGCGTGTAGAACTTGTATATACAGGGCTTGGTTAAACTTGAGTTCTAACTTTGTTGTAGGGATTCCTCAAAGTAAATTATATAAAACTTTGTCTTTTTAAAAAAAATGACAATATGCAAATTCCATGTTTGATTGGAACACTTTTTCTTTACATAGGCCAGCTTTCTAATGCGAGAGAAGGATTTTATTGTAGATCGAGGAGCTGTTAAAATAAATGTAACCAATTGGGTTATACAGATGTTTTTCTTAGAAACAAACCAGTTTGTAGCATGCATTCAGGTGCTTTACAGTGTATGTATAGCCAAAACATTTCTTTGTTAAGTTTTTGTTAGGCAGAAAACTGGCCAAATTTTTTTTGTGGTCAGTCCCTGCTAAGCAGATTCACCTTCTCTATTTGTCTTGAAGACCATTGTCACTAAGACAAAGTGATGGGAAGCCTGAACTTTTGCAGTTATCACCAGAACAATAAGACATTCCAGTGCCAACTGCCTGAGGGGAATTCCCCTCACTTTGTATAGATTTCCTCTCACTTCATTTTAAACCACCGATTGTTGAGTTCTTCCCTCAGCTCAGAGCAGAGAGCTGTGACTGTCAGTCTCTGGCTCTTCACTCCGCCCCTCCGCCCCTCCAGTGCTTACTGGAGCTCTGGGCTGTGGAGGGAGTGGGAGGGGCTTGCTTAAGCTCCAGGCTGAACCAGGCTTCTGGGTGGATTCTGACCATTTGGTCGGGATCTTTTCAGCCACAGGTATCTGCAGTTTATTAGTTGAAACTGTCTTAATGTTGGAATTCTTATTTAGCCTGAATAATATTTAAAGCAGAACTCCAGTCAATTTGTATTTTCCTATGCAGTGGGGCTATGCCTGCACTGCATGGGTTAACTGCTTGTTTTGTCCAGGGGCTCAGGAAAAGCTATACTTACCCTTTCTTCTGATCCTCCAGAGAACTGTGCTCCCCCACGTCCAGCGGTGGACTGTTCCTGCCATCCTCATGTCCAGAGCCAGTGTATGGGCATGGTGACGTCAGGAACAGCCCTTCACTATAACGCTAGCATGGGGAGGGGGGCGGCAGGAGCAGCAGGGACCAGTCTTGCACTTGGAGGATCGATGGATTAGGTAAAATATATCTCCACTTACCGAATCTCTAGACAAAAATAACCATTTAACCCTTGCAGTGAAGGCCCAGCCTAACTACATGGGAAAATAACACTTTTCTTTTTGCCCGGAGTTCTTCTTTAAAGCTGCTGTATATGCCTCTGATATTTTTCAGTGGTTCTGCAGCTGCTAAAATCCAACATCTACAATTGGATTCACATCTGGCAGAACTTCCCATTATTATAGAAACCTATATCCTGCATTGCAGAGTACATAATACCTCTCCTATCACATGACTCAATCAAGCAGGTTCTGCTGTGCACTGATCAGACTGAATTGCAATTAAAGTGCATCGGGGAACTGTATTAAGGTACATGGGAAGGAAGGTTAAATTGTACATTGGAATCCATGCCTTTTTGACAGGATTGAGTGTCCATTTAGACCCTCAGGGTCTGTTCTGCAAATAGCAACATTTTGGCCTTTTAGTTTTAAATTAAACTATTTTTCCAAAGTGCCTCTATTTTAACAAAGCCCTGTATGTATATATTAACTTGTAATAGCCATTGCTTCTGATATGTTATTGAAAGTGTAGTTCAGCTAAGAGTATTGTTTGCTATGTTCAGAAATCAGGAGTGTACAGTCAGTGGCCCCCAATAGCTGTATTTGCCTTTACAATTTCCAGTGTAGTACCTATTTGATGTTTTTAATGTGCATTATATATCAGGACATTTCAGCTATCACCCACTCTGTGGGCACATTCATTGTATCTTGTTAGTTGTTTATGCTTTTCAAGAAGTGCCTGCATAAACATGTACTAGATGTCTAGTGTTTAATGATATGTATAATTTCTTTTGCTTGTTACTTGTTAACAATACTCACATATTCTATGTTTATTATCTGATGTGACTTCATATACAGACTCTGTCGCAAGCCATAGTCAAAGTGGTTATCCCAACAGAAAGGTACATTTTTTTTTCTTTATTATTACTCATGTGATTTTAGAAAATATCCCCTTCAGAAATACAAATGATTGGTTGATGGTCTTGAAGGGGTGATTGGAGCTTCACTGAGCAACAGTTTCCCCCCCCCCCCCTGTTCATTTAAATGCACGGTTAAGCTGGCATCAAATCTGTCACAAATCTGTTAGCAGGATTACACATCTATATACTTTTAGGAAGCTGAACAGAAAAGACTGGAAGAGCACCTGGAAGATGAATAATTGCTGGCATCAAGGGATCAATAGTGACCATGATAGGTTGTCTAACTTGCCTTGCCTTCCCTACCCCTTACAGGAGCTGGGTTTTTTGGGGGGCAGCTACAGACACAAGATTGTTGACTTGATCCAGCCATGTATGCAGGTTTTCTTTTTGTTTTTTTTTTTTTTTTTAAAGGATAGCATGAGAAGAACATAAATCAAAGCAGCGTTTACTTTAATTCCATTTGAGATTTTTACATTACACCTATATTTGAGTGATAGGAATGTGAACAGCACTAATATATTTCATCTCTAGATTGATGCTGGCTCAACCACACACTAGCTTTGTAATATTATACAGTGCATTCATAAAGTATTCATACCCCATTCACTTTTTTTCAATTTTGTTATGTTGCAGCCTGATACTACAGTTGTTTAAATTCATTTTGTTTTCTCATTAATCTACACTCACTACCCCATAATGATGAAGTGAAAACAAAATTTTAGAAATGTTTGCAAATGTATTAAAAAAGAAAAGGAAAACTGAAATTGGCCTAAGTATTCAGATCCTTTGCAACAACACTAGAAAATTTAGCTCAGATGCCTCCTTTTTTTCTTGATCGTTGCTGAGATGTTTCTACACTTTGATTGGAGTCCACTTATGATAAATTAAATTATAGCATACTGTGGCATAGCAAAAGCCCTGATGTCAAAGGAACTGTCTGCGAAGCTCAGAGAGTAAAGCTTTTTTGCAAACTCCAAGCTGGCTTTCATGTGTTTTGCACTGAGGAGAAGCTTCTGTCTAGCCATTCTGCCATAAAGCTCAGATCCGTGCAGGGCTTCAGTGATGTTTATCCTTCTGGAACTTTGTCCCATTTCCACATAGGATCTCTGGAGCTCAGTCAGAGTGATCATCGGGTTCTTGGTCACCTCTCTTACTAAGACTTTCTTACCTTCTCCCCAGATTGCTGAGTTTGGCTAGTCGACTGTCTCTTGGAAGAGTCCTGGTTGTGCCAGACTTCTTCCATTTGAGAATTATGAAGGCCACTGTGCTCTTGGGAACCTTCAGTGCAGCAGAATTGTTTTGTATCCTTCCCCAGATATTTGCCTTGCAGTAATCGTGTCTCTGAGCTCTGCAGGCTGTTCCTTTTGACCTCATGGCTTTTGCGCTGATACAGTATGCATTGTCAGCTGTGTTGTAACGGGTCTGAAAACTTACTCCAGTGTGATATTTCAGTTTTTCTTTTTTCATACATTTGCAAACATTTCTAAAATTCTGTTTTCACTTTGTCAAAATGGGGTACTGGGTGTAGATTAATGAGAAAAAAAGTGAATTTAAACAGCTGTAGTATCAGGCTGCAACACAACAAAATTGAAAAAAAAGTGAAGGGGGTCTGAATACTTTTTTATAAATATACTGTAAGGGAAGTTTCCAGGTCATCCCACCTTTTAAGTATATTGCAGGGTTGTGCTACCCTTTTTTGTTTTTCTTTTCAATTTATTGTATTTAATAATGATGGAAAAAAAAGATGGATGGAGCTGCCTGACCAGGTTGTGAAGGCATAGGGTCAAAAATTAAGGTATTCGTTTTGACTTGGGTTAACTCTTTAATTGTGGTTCTAGTGGTTCTCTGGCTAGGGAGGGTGTCCCATAAACTCTTGCTCAGGAAAGCACAGTCTTACTTTCAAGATAGAAAATACAACCTAAGAAGAATCAAATTTCAAATTCCCATTGACCTTTGACATTGGCCTTGGTGAGCAACACCACAGCTGAACAGTCTGCGGCAGCGGGGGACCAGGAAAACATCAAGGGATGGATTGGGAAAGTATTTTGACCAGACATTGGTACGATCAACTCCAATAAATGTGGTTGTGTCATCATTAAAGCACGTAACATGATTATAGGTCAAACTGTAGTTCCACAATAATATTTTAGAGTAAACACTTAATATCCTTTTTTGCCATTGGAGCTTTTTTCCATTACAAAGGTAGTGTCCCATTATTAGAGTAATTTCATCTCAGATATTACTGCAGTTGCCAGGGTTGTATATGCTGTTAATATACCTGAACATGGCTGTTATTTTTATTGTATTGGTGCTCCACTGGAAATTACCCAGATTTATTGTGCACCAACACACCATAGGTCTTATGCTTATGCATAGTTGGGATTTTTTTTTATTTTTGTTCTTTTCTTATTCTTAACTTAGTTTTATATGTAATATAATCGGCATTACCTTCCCTAATTGGTTACATTGTTTTGTTTATATATATTTTATATATATTATTTAGGTAGGAGTCACAGTTAAATTCTCTTCTATGTTTCTTTATATTTCAAATCTTTACGTTTGTTGGATGTGACCTTTTTATATATTAAAGCACCGTTATTGTGATTGGAGCCAGTGTCCTATTGTCATCAAGCAGCCCATATCATCATACTTATATCTTATACAGTATGTTTCTTTAGAATCATGTCATGCTATGCGGACAGTGTTCTTTGCTGCCCTGATAGTCTACCCCTTTCCTGACTGATGACAAAAGGATTTTCTTTGTGCCTTTCCTTTACCATCTTTTATTTGGAATACTCTAGTAAACCTGAGAGAATTCTTCAGACATCTGTTTGATAAATTCAGTGTGTTATTTATTTTATTTTTTTTGTACTATAACATTTATTACATGCTGCTGCCCTGCTAGCCTAATATAACATGACACTTAGCTTTTTATACCACTCTTTCATTTCTTACCTGATAGCCAGAGTCCTTTTTCTGTGTTTTTAGAGGGTTTATCCCTTATCAGATGAAGGACTTCTATGTATTACACATACACTGAACAGCTGGGCAGCTACAATGCATCTTCAAATAGTGCTGTTACATACCATCAACCTCTATACTCTAGTTGGTAGATGGAGTGCAATTAGTATGTAGGGTCTGAATACATTTTCCTTTAACTCTACTGTCGTTGTAGGAATTTACTTGCTCTGATCCATCGCATGATCGAATTTGTGGTGCGTGAAGGGCCAATGTTTGAAGCTATGATCATGAACCGAGAAATCAACAATCCTATGTTCAGGTGAAAATGATGGTGCATTAAATTTCCTGGGAAATGCAGTACTTAATTACATATGAAACATTTTCCACACAATTTTCAGTTTATTTCTAAGGTGTCAAGCATTTGCTGTACCCATTCTTTAATTTTCAATGAACAAATCTGCAATACTGATGTGCTTTTTGTATGGTATAGGGCTCAAAGGGCGAAATATACAAATCTCTGAGCTCATTCAGACAGCTGATTTTGAGGCCATAGTTTTGTGCTGTATTTATCAGTGTAAAAACAAAAATATAGTACAATTACAAGTGTACAGTGTTCATGCAGCCTATTGGCTGAACACCAGCTAACGTGGATATTAACAATGTCATTGCTGCTGTTATCACCTCATGTTTTCTCCCATGACCCCAGCCCATGAGCCCCACCACATTTTTTAAGGACTTACAAACAGCCACATTCTCAACCTGCCTGCTGCTTCATGCCTGAAAAATACACAAGCCCCACCTTTTGGCCGTAACAACCTCCAGCTAATCACACAGCATCTGTTGTTGATATAGCATTTGGCACATGAAGATGTCATTCACAGGGCCAACATGTAAACATCAGTGATGTGTCATTGGCCGGTAGGCTGCATTTACTCTATTCGCATATAAATTTTACTCAAATAATTTATCTTGTACTGTGTGCAGACAACTAAATGCAAGATCATGCTTTCTAATGCTTTGTCTGAATGAGCCCTTAGGCTACCATATTTTTGATGAAGCTTGGTTGGTCATTGCAGTACAGCACTCCCAGAGCTTTAGGTCCAGGGATGCTCTGTTGCAGATTTCTGTGCATCTCTCTTAACTCTGATACATACGCTTCCTATGTCGGTGAATAGTGCAAATGTTATTTTCTTTCACTTTCTAGATTCTTGTTTGAAAACCAGACGCCTGCCCACGTGTATTACCGATGGAAGCTTTACTCAATACTACAGGTGAACAGTACCTCCGTATGCACTTTCCTATGCTGTGTGTGTTTTTTGTATGCAAAATAAACTTTATCATTTGTATCTTGTCATTTAGGGAGATTCTCCTATAAAATGGAGGACAGAAGATTTTCGAATGTTTAAAAACGGTTCTTTCTGGAGACCACCACCGTTAAATCCTTATCTGCATGGAATGACAGAGGAACAGGAACCTGAGCCTTTTGTTGAGGAGCCCATCAAAAAGGGATCCCTTAAAGAAGAGTACGTCTTTAATGTATTGATTTAGATATCTGATTAATCTTTTAAATTTTGTTTTAAGATTTTTAAAAGGGACTTTCCTAGAAATCTGTTTTTGTGATTGTACAGCACAGGAAACAGTCTTCTTTAGATTATTCTGAATAAGTAATATGCAGCTGCATTTAGGTAATTAGTACTCCACTCTCTGGATTGGTGGCAAAGCCTTTGGATACTGTGCCGAGCCTGCCTGATAGAAGAAGCGTGGTTGGCCTGTAATGTTGTTTTGCACTGGATCCTATTGTGGGTGCTCCCCAACTGCAATATGTGAAGTTAATTGCAGGGTATTTTTCAGGAGCAGAGCAATGGTCTGTCTAGTGCAGAGCTCAGTCTGTGAGCCCCTTCAGAGGGTATGTCCTCTGTGACAAGGCAAAAGCCAAAAAGGGGTTAACTCCCGCTTATTCCTATTACTCAAGTGGTGAATACACATGGCAGAAGTCCTTTGAACATGCCCATTAGAGCATTCCCCTTTTCCTGCACCACTGCTCTGAAGGTCAGGAGAACCACAGTGGGACATTTTATTTGCACATGGTGGACTAGAAGAGGAGTGATAAGGGATAAGATGGGCCTTTTACCTATATTGTAATACATTGGTTCATGGCCCTAACTCTGCCACACTTCCTCTGGTCATTCAGTGTACACTTCTGCCACACTAGTGAGGAATTTCTGCCACAGTGTCAGAGTTCATAGACCAAATTTCTGGCCTTGTTGAGGCCTTAAACTACAGGGGTCATGTCCGTTTCTACATCCCATATACCTTTGGTCTTTGACTTTGGCCATGAGGCAGTACTGGAAGTGGAGACATCTGTTGAGGAAACATCCTTGCCCTTTAATGGATCTGACCAGGATGATACACCTGTTACAGAATTTTCTGCAAAAGAAATGAGCTTATTGCTATGCTAATTGAAGCTCTTCACTCTTGGCTTTGGGATCAGCTTCTGGATTAGGGAATGGGCTCTCCACTCGAATCTCATTCCTCCAAGCTATTTGCCATTGGTGGGGAACATCAGATGTAGACCTTCTGGCATCCAGATTCAACAAAAAACTGGACAGGTTTGTTGCCAGGTACAGGGACCGTCAGACTTTTCAAGTGGACTCTGGTGTTGCCATGATATCAGTTCAGTCTGATCTGTGCCTTTCTGTCCCTCTAGATTCTCCCTCTGCTACTTTTGCAGGATTGAAAAGGAAGGTATCTTGGTGATACTTATTGCATCAAATTGGCCCAAAAAATTTTTGTATTTCCACTGGCAGATGCTCCATGGGCTCTTCTTGATCCCCCGACGTGCTGTCCCAAGGGCCAGTGTTCCATCATGCTTCTTGTTTTCTGGCTTTAAAAACATAGCTGTCCTGAGGCACAGGGACCTTTTTAAGATTCAGTTATCCATACCCTCTTGAAAGCTAGGAACCCTACTTCTCAGTCTGCCATTGCACCCAACTTTGGTGTAAGTCGAGGAATATTCTTCTAAAAAATACTCCTGAGCTTCTTCCTGTCTGGTCTAGACCTAAAATTGTCCTTGAGTAAAATTAGGCAAAAATTTTAGCCTTCGTCATTCTATTTCAGAGTCCTTTGCCCTCTCGCTCTCTAGTTAAAGTCTTTGTTCAGAGAGTAGTGTACATATCCCACCCTGCTTTTTTCGCTCTATCTCCTTGAGATTTCAGTTTGGTTCTCTCTGTTCTCCAGAAGTTGGCCTTTGAGGCTATCGGTGATATTCCCTTGTATGACCTTACCTGTAAGATGGTCTTCACCTCTGTAAGGAGAGTTTCTAAGTTGCTGTCCTTAATCTTTAAGGAGCCTTTCTTAGTGTTGTTCAAGGGCAAGGTTATCTTGAGGCCTCTTTTCTTCAAAGGTGTTCTCTGTTTTCCACCTCTAGGTATTGTCCTTCCTTCCATATGTCCTACCTCAAAGCATCTAAGGAAATCCCTTAACTGTTTGTAAGTGGGGTGTGCACAGTGAGAGGAATGATGGCCCATATCGTTACTTCATGATGACCTCACGGTGGTGGTCAGACATGCTGTCTAGCTACTTGCCGCAATGATTAAGGCCTTAAGAGTGGAACACGTTGGAGTGCTTGGCATGTTTGACTGCAATAAAGTTAATTTTACTTCATTGACGTCATAGGTGTGCAGCTAGTCATTCCTCTGATGCATGGTGCATTGAGTGAGGACTCGCTCCTGAGCAAGCATCTGGGACAACTCAGAGGATATGGATGCTTGAAGTGGTGTTATTTTCTAGGTCTACTATTTGTGTGTGCAGTAGGAGGCTACTGCAGCTTTTGGGTCGGCTTTTACTCTTTTTGCTTCCTGAGGGTTCTAGATCTACCATTTCTGGATCAGACAAGTTATCGTTAAGTGCCCAGTCACTTCAGGTGCGATTTGCCATGCCAGGCAAGTTGCACCCTATTGCCCGCATTTAAAGCAGTCATATTGGTGCGATTCTGACATAGTCAGAGCCGCACCAATTTTCAAAGTAGTGCATGCACTACTTCAGATGCGACTTGCAAAGACATCTGAATTCCACCAGGTAGATATTCAAGCATTCTCTGATGCCAGTTTTGGGAGCAAGGTGATGCAAGCTGCTCTCCTGAGTCTGTCAAGACCTTCTTGACCTGTTTTTATTGTATGGGCCTGTTGGCATTGTTTGCTGTGTTGCCCACCACTCAGTTTGACTGCTTTTGGACATCCCAATCTTACCTTAATGATTTTAAAGAAGCTTGTGTACTGTACACAAGGAAAATAGGATCGACTCACCAGTGAAATTTGTTTCCTGAAGTACAGTACCAGGCAGAGAACCCTCCCTTCTGTTATGATCTCCCTTTTATTTCACTACAAAACTGACTCTAGGAGATATCCTGCAGCCTTTTTTGTTTTTTTTTGCCAGTGTCCAATCACCTCAAGGTAACTTTATATAATCTGATTTTAATGTTTAAAAAAGAAAACTGTCCACTACTGTAGTATTTTCCTCTCTGTTTAACATTACATATAGTTCTACATAGCCCTTGTGAGCAAATAAACACTGTCTTGTTGCTCCAGTTATATGAAAAGCTGAAGTTTGACCAGTTGAACAGTCCTAATATAAAACATTTTGTATTTATGATCAAGTGTCAGTACTGCCATTACACCATTAGCTGATACTACCAGCACCAAACACATTAGTTATATAAAATAGCATGTATTCTGTTACATGCATTCAGCTGCTTTGCCTAACAAATCTGTTCAGTGCCTCCTCTAGAGCTGCCAGATATTTCCCTGAACGTCTGTCTTCCTATGCTGTGGAGAAACATTGTTCTGGTTCCTCCTGCCATAAAGGGATCTAGAGTGGGCTCTGAGGGACTAAGGGGGACTGAAAGGGCTCATTTAGATGTGCAGCTATGATTGCTGGCAGATCACATTTCAGAGGGTGTTTGATAGTAAATGAGGAGAAGATGGGGGGCCTGAGGAGTGGGGGTGGGTGTTCAGAGGAGGAGAGGGGTGGTCTAAGGCTTAGTTTTCCTGCCCCCTTTCCTCCCAGTTAACACAGGTGAAGCCTCTTCTTTCCATCTCTAGTCATGTGACATGTCACATGACAAGGGGAGAGTGAATAAGAAGAGCAGTGCGCCCTCACTACTCAGCAAAGCAGAGCTGAGACAGTGAGTTTTTTTCTCCGTGCAGGCTCTCCATCTCCCCCTACAGGCTGGAGGGAGAAAAACCCAGAATCCTCTCCCCAGCAGAAGCTGGCCACTCTTTTTATGAGAGAGTGAATTACTCCTGTCAGTGAGGAGCAGCACAAGCTGCTAAGTCATCAGCACGGCCCCCCCCCACGTTATCATTCCTCTCGGGGCAGGTTCCCACTCGGTCCCTCCCTCCTTCCTGCCCTGTTACTAATCTCTCAAAATGTATTGTGTTCTCTGAATGGACAGTGAAGATCCTGTCATTCAGCTGCTCCTTCATTCACAGAATGTGATTCATTATAGGAGAAACACAAGGTTTGTAAATGATGGAAAGGACAGAAGGAGGCATGCAACCAGTGCAGCTTCTCTCAGCGGTTGCTGCTGTTTACTCTTATAGTGCCAGAAGATAACTGCTTAGGGCAGGAACCTGCAGCCACTAAGGAGACTCTGAACAGAAGATTTTTACCAAAAGCCACTGCCTGCAAGTAATGGGATACCCACCATTACACGTGACTAATGTGTTTATTGCTCTATTACAAAAAAAAAAATATTAAAAATACTGCTTTAACCACTTGCTCTCCAGAGGATTTACCACCATTCCTGACAAGGCCATTTTTTGCGTCACAGCGTTGCGTTACTTTAACTGACAATTGCGCAGTCATGCAACACTGCACCCAAATGAAATTTACGTCCTTTTTTTCCCACAAATAGACTTTCCTTTGGTGGTATTTGATTGCCTGTGTATTTTTTATTTTTTGTGCAGTAAAAAAATTAAATTTCCTCCATAAATATAGGCCAAAATGTATTCTGCTACATGTCTTTGTAAAAAAAAAAAAATCCCAATACAGTATATGTAAATTAATTGGTTTATGTGAAAGTTGTAGCATTTATAAATGGTGGTGTATATATACTGGAATTAATATATGTGTGTGTGTGTGTATTTTTTTTTTTCTTTTTACTAGTAATGGCGGCGATCAGCGACTTATAGCAGGACTGTGGCGGGCATTCTGACACCGGAGGGAACAGATTTGGTGTCACTGACATGCCCAGTGACACCAGTACAGTGATCACTGCTAATAATAAGTACTGACACTGTACTAATGGCACTGGGCATGAAGGGGTTAATATCTGGGGTGATCAAAGGGTTAACTGTGGGCTGTTTCACTATGGGGGCTGTGTGTGTGTGCGCAGGAGCTGACGGGAGAGATCTGTATTTACATAAAGCTCTCTTCCCCGTTGGAGATACTCGGCAATCACTGGCTGGGACCCGATGATTGACAGTTGAGGCCGCGAACGGCGGCGCAGGTAGGGCGCGTGCGCCCCCTACCCTGAACTTCGAAATCACGTGTGTGTGTATGTATGTATGTATGTGTGTGTGTATGTATGTGTATATATATATATATATATATATATATATATATATATATATATGTGATTTTTCTCACCCTTGCCACCCTGTAGTAGTATTTCTGCTATAGGGCGGAGGGGAAGTAGTTCTGTAACTGCTCATTCTCAAAAGCTTGTCTTTTTAAAGATACTTACAGTCATCGTATATAATTTCACATATATTGTACTTGCAATGTAAATTAAATAGTAATTCCCACCTAATTTAATGCCTTCCCAACCAGTCAAAACTCCAGTGACTAATCCTGCTAATTACAGTGCATCCAGAAAGTATTCACAGCGCTTAACTTTTGCCGCATTTTGTTATGTTACAGCCTTATTCCAAAATGGATTAAATTAATTTTTTTCCTCAACATTCTACAAACAATACCCCATAATGACAACGTGAAGGAAGTTTGTTTTGAAATCTTTGCAATGTATTAAAAAAATAAAAAAAAGCACTTGTACATGAGTATTCACAGCCTTTGCCATGACACTCAAAATTTAGCTCTGGTGCATCCTGTTCCCACTGATCCTCCTTGAGATGTTTCCACAACTTGATTGGAGTCCACCTGTGGGAAGTTCACTTGATTGGACATGATTAGGAAAGGCATAAACCTGTCTATATAAGGTCCCACAGTTAATGCATGTCAGAGCACAAACCAAGCCATGAAGCCCAAGGAATTGTCCGTAGACAGGATTGTATCAAGGCACAGATCTGTGGAAGGGTACAGAAACATTTCTGCAGCATTGAAGGTCCCAATGAGCACAGTGGCCTCCATCATCCATAAATGGAAGAAGTTTGGAACCACCAGGAATCTTCCTAGAGCATGCCGCCTGGCCAAAATGAGCGATTGAGGGAGAAGGACCTTGGCCAGGGAGGTAACCAAGCACCCGATAGTCACTCGTAACGGAAGCCACTCCTCATTAAGAGGCAAATGGCAGCCTGCCTGGAGTTTGTTTGAGCAAAGGCTGTGAATACTTATGTACATGTGTTTTTTTTTATTTTTAATAAATTGCAAAGAATTCAAAACGAACTTCTTTCACGTTGGCATTATGGAGTATTGTTTATAGAATGTTGAGGAAAAAATTAATTTAATTCATTTTGGAATAAGGCTGTATCATAATAAAATGTGGCAAAAGTTAAGCGCTGTGATTACTTTCTGGATGCACTGAACAATATTTTGAATGGTAATAGTTTACTTATTGCAGTAATTTTTTTTGTTTTACCCATCACTTTTACATTTTATTTAGCACTTTGACATCAGTTTCTATTTTAGACAAAGAGACAAATTAGAGGAGGTGTTACGAGGATTAACGCCACGGAAGAATGACATTGGTGACGCCATGATGTTCTGTCTTAACCATGCTGAAGCAGCAGAAGAAATTGTAGACTGCATAGCAGAATCTTTGTCTATCTTGAAAACCCCCCTCCCTAAAAAGGTATTGCCATGTCTTTTGCTTATGCATGTTTATTTATTGACTGTGCCTTAAAACTCAACCCCACCATTTAAACCTACTGGATTTGGTTGGTCAGGGTAGTGAAATTATTTTCCTACTTTTTGCTTGTGTAAGTTTTTGAATTATTCATTGGGTCAATTGAGAGAGCTTCCAGTTGTGCTGATTATTATTAGAAATGAGCTCAGGTGTCCTTCAAACTCATTTCTAGCCAATCTCCACAATTTTGTTTGCAATGTGCTGCAAGCTAGGTCGTTCCTCCCTGCAGCCCACCTCTTTGTTTACATCAGCTCTGGGGTGGGAATTGCCCAGCCTGCAGCCTGTTGCAATTAAGAAACAAAAAAAAGCACAATTTTAGCTAGAGATAAATTTTGAATTTTGTCCAAGCTCATCTTGAATTGCTGTTAATTGTCTGTCATTGTGTCCGGTTACTCCGGGTGCGATTTGCCATGCCATGCAAGTTGCAAATCGCATGGCAATTTGTATGGCACGTTATTTACTGAATTACTCATTTCATGATGGTCTCTTTTCTCTTATAGATTGCCAGACTCTATCTGGTGTCCGATGTCTTGTATAACTCATCTGCTAAAGTTGCCAATGCATCATACTACAGAAAATTGTGAGTCATTGTTATTTTTGTTGCTTTAAAGAGTGGTTTTAAAAAGTTAATGTTTGTATATTCACATGTTTGTGTTTAGTCATAAAAGTATTTGTAACATGATTTGCAAGTATTGTATTGGTTGTAGGTGCACAATGGTTTCATTATGCATTGTGCCATTGAAGGTGCTGCTAAACAGTAGAGAGATCTGTTATTGTGCTGTTCCATCTACTGATGAGTTGGCCACACCAGGATGTTCAGTCCCTGAGTGACAACCACAGCACACTCATGCCAGCTAGTTTAGTCAATAGCTCTTATAACCTGCATTTCTTGAACATACAAGATTTTTCAATACAGGAGAGCAAAGAGAGGCACTGATGTGCACAGTAGTTAATAGTAACATGAGATTAATCAAAGAACTTCACCTTTTGCTTTAGTTATTTACTCCATTTACCCCATCCATGTGAGTGCAGCCCACCATTCAAATACTTAATGCCTTAATCCAGTAATCTTTGCTTTGTGGCCCTGTACAGCACTGCACAGCTTTTGCAGAGATAATGTTCCGCCAGTTCTTCCTCCTAGTGCACACAGAATGCCTTAGCCCCTTTCATTCTTTAGGGGTAAGTCATACTTATGGTCATCTCTGGCAGTTCTGCAGATTATGGCTTACCTGTAAGTATATTATGGGGACATTTTCACTGCAAGAGCTGTGCAGCCAACAGCAAAAAATCACTATCAAGGAAAAAATATATGTATTTGAGCAGGTGGTCTTCAGTCAGGTGCTAAAGGGTAAGGGGTATAGTTACACTTCAAATCAGATATATCCAAAATTTATTCTGAATGGCTGCTATGCAGTATTGGACTTTGTGTATTGCTTTTTGCATTAAAGTAAAACTAAAGGCAAATAGTCAAAACATTAAGTGGTAAAAATAAGCTGGAAGTTCTTGGTTTAAAACCTTATTGATATATCAAATAGATTTGTACTCAGTATCCTCTACCATTTTTGATGTGTGTAAGTCCTGGACATGTGAAATAAATTAACATCTCTGTTTACCTCATTAGCTTTGAAAGTAAATTATGCCAAATCTTTGCTGATCTGAACGCTGCCTACAGAGCCATACAAGGACATTTGCAGTCAGAAAATTTTAAGGTCAGTTGTGAACTTATCAGTGTTCACTCTTGTAAGATGATCTTTTCTTGTCACGGATATGCAGAATTATTTTTAATTATTACTTACAGACCTTAGTCACATTCTAAAAGCTCATAATGTTGGTTATTTCATTTTACACAGATATTGAAGCTGAAGAAAAACATTTTTTAACCTATTTATGGTTTCATTAAAAGTCGTACTGTATGTCTTTTTGTATATAAGTTGGCAAAAACACCTGAATTTATCTTTACATCAGCCTTCTGTAGCACCCAGACTGGGAGATAGAGCAGCAGCACTGCATTTTACAGTGCTGCCATTCTTATTTTATGAATATGATTATTATATCTCATGATTGCTCCAGTTATCACTGTCCAATAAGGGGCCAGGGTGTACTTTCAGCTGTAATATGAACTACAGAAAAGACGGGGGAAGCATGACCTGGCTGTGCTGTCTGGCAGTTGTGTCTAGATTATAAGGCTAGCTTACCAAAATCAAATTTATTGGCAGTTAAGGAACTTCATTGATATGGTTAATACTGTGTGTTTAGCTTTGCACTTGTTTAGTTTTTCTTTTTAAAAAATATGCTGCTGTTCATCTTCTATATAAGAAAAAAAAACGGCAAGAGACTTTTTCAGGAATGTACACAGTGAAAAAGGTAATTCAGGCATATTACCAAGCTTAGTGGTCAATTTATAAACTTGCGTATACGATGTAATAGTGAATTATCAGTAAACTCCCTATTCTCAGTACTTAGCAGAACATACTTTTTACGTAGAGGTCTGTCACGTTTTACAATCCCAATTTCAAATACTTAGGATGCTGGGTAAAATGTACATAAAAACAGAATGCAATGGTTTGCAAATCTCAAACTATTCACAATAGCAAACATATCAGATGTTTGTTGTAATTTTAAGATTGATGTCAGCAACACGTCTCAATACATTTGGGACAGGGCCATGTTTATCAGTGTAGTATCATTCCTTTTTTTTGTAACAACACTGTTAACATCTGGGAACTGAGGAGAACGGTTGCTGGAGTTTTGGGAAAGGAATGTTGTCCCATTCTTGTCTGATATAGGGTCTGCTCAACTGTTCTGGGTCTTCAGGACTGTTGCCAAATATTTTCAATTGGTGATAAGTCTGCACTGCAGGCAGGCCAGTTAAGCACCCAGACTCGTCTGCTATGAAGCCATGCTATTGCAATAGTTGCAGTATATGGTTTAGCATTGTCTTGCTGAAATAGGCAAGACCTTCCCTGAAAAGACATTTTCGGGATGGGAACCTATTCTGCTCTAAAACCTGGATATATCTTTCAGTGTTTTTTCAGTGTAGTGTTTCTCCAGATGTGCAAGCTGCTAATTCCATATGCACTAATGTACTCCCATACCATCAGTGATGCTGGCTTTTGAACTGAATGCTAATAAGCCGGAAGGTCCCTCTCCTCTTTAGTCCAGAGGACACGGTGCCTATGGTTGCCAAAAATGTCAAATTTCGATTCTTCTGGCAACAGAGCAAATTTGCACTTTGCGACTGACAATTTTAAGTGAGATTTGGCCCAAAAAAAGAGAGTGTGTGTGTGTGTTGTTTTTCTTGCAAAAGAAATGGAAGGTAGGTTGGGTTCTCACAAGGACAGGAAAGCACAGACAGCAGTAAGAACAATTTCAGCCATTCTAGCCCTTTTCCACTCTTACTAATATGCATTTTGTTTTGTCTGTGTTCCTGTTGAAAATATTTTCCATCACTTCCTGTCCTGATGCTGTGCAGTCATTAATACCCAATGCTAGTCACTTTATGTCCTTTTAGCCTTTATACCTGCAGCTGCTGTGCCCAAGAATCAAAGAAATAAGACACCAAGGGCATTGTTCATCAGACATTAAACTCTTAAAATTATTTCCCAACAACTGTAGCAATAATTTCAAATAAGTCTGCTCTTCTGGCAGAAGAGCCAGTCCAGCACAATCAGTCATTAGACACTTCCATTATGACTTGGTAGGAGGGGGAAGGGTTTTGTTAGGGAATTTACACCACCTGGGGTGGTCAAATTCCGTTGCAAGTTCAAAGGCAAATTGCAGTGAATACATGGTTGGAGAAAAAAACACTGCAAGTAAGCATTTAAAAGACATTTTATATTCTTCTAACTGTAATTTTATATTGTTTGCAGGGTCTCTTTTAAGATGGAATTTTGTGGAGTATTGTAGTTCTTAGGCTAGGTTCACACTATGCTGGTTTCCCTATGGCTGCATTTGCACTGCTGGGCTGCTGCACCTGCAGAAAACACAGAAAAAGGACCCTGCATTTTTTTTCTAAAATCAAGGCTGCAGGGAAAATCCATAGTGCTATGCGTTTACCAGCACAGGAAAACATGCTGTGGTTTCCAATGTGTGGGGGAACCACCCCGCTTCTAACAGCCGCATGTTTTTGTTGCAGGAAAGCAAGCGTTTTACTTGCAGTTCTGCACCGCATAGATGTGAATCAAGCCCTAATGTTTCAGTTCAGATAGAACTAAAACTTTACCATTTGATAGTCTTAATATCAATATTATGATTCCTGGCTCATTGCATTTAATGTTGGACACTGAATAAAGCGATATACTATATTCTTTTTATCTTTTTATCCAGCAACGTGTTATGGCCTGCTTCCGGGCCTGGGAAGACTGGGCTATTTATCCTGAACCCTTTTTAATCAAGCTGCAGAATATTTTCCTTGGTCTTGTAAATATTGATGAGAAGGATACTGAGGTAAGTGCATAATAATAATGGCAGCTTGCAGAAAGTAATGCAGGCCATGCATGGGTCAAATTCCGAAATAATTATCTTTTAAAAAATCGTAACTTAGAATTTTCGGTTGAATTTCTTACTGTTAACGGGCCGCAACTTCGGCCTATTCGTGCGGCCATCACATTTGAGTGATTGGCATGTTGGACATTGTTTGAATAACAAACCAATTTCTAATCATTGATGGGAGAATTGTGTGAGAAATATCATCGAAAAAGAAATGAGCGTGACTGTGACCTGGAAAGAAAAGAAGACTCCCAGCCACGAAAATTCTTTTTTTGTAGCAACATGAGGTGAAAATTGAAGGCTTGGTTGGTCAAATTTCGAAATCAATGGTGGCACCGTCAGATTACAAAACACATGAAATTTCCAAATTTCTAAAGAAAATTTGTTCAGAATTCGACACATGTATGGCCTGCATAAGCCAGTGTAGAAAAATTCACTGGGCTTTTTTGGTTTTGCACTGTGTGATCATGGGTTGCCTACACCTGTCTGAAATTGTAAACAAATCCTGGTGGCCGAAAGAGGGAAGCTGAAATACACTTGCAATGCTTGTATTGCCATTAAGTACCGTGTGTGTGTGTGTGTGTGTGTTGTGTTATAATCAGCACAGTAGTAAAATATCAGAATTCTATACAAGTCTTTGCTTAATCCATACTACAAGACAACTCTGTTGTGCTCATAGGAGGTGATAGATGATTTGGATGGTGCTCCAATTGAGGAAGAATTAGATGGGGCTCCTTTGGAAGATATGGATGGAATCCCCCTTGATGGCGCTCCACTTGACGACTTGGATGGTGTGCCTATAAAATCTCTTGATGATGATCTGGATGGCGTTCCACGTAAGGGAGAATTTTTAATATACAACTTTAAAATCAAATATTTTGTTTGTCAACACTCTTAAAATCAAATATTTTGTTTGTCAACGCTCTGAATGCTGACATAAATCCTTTTATGTGTTTTTTTCTATATAATAAAAGTGGACATTTCTGAAGATTCTAAAAAGAATGAGCCAATTTTTAAAGTAGCGCCATCTAAGTGGGAGGCTGTAGATGAAGCAGAGCTGGAGTCACAAGGTAATTACAGCTAAGGAAAATCCTTTACACTGCCATGGGGGGGGGAGAGTAACAACACTTTGTTTACATATGATCTTGGAATAATTCTGTATGTGTTCATGACAAAAGAAAGTGTAGGAATGAAAGTTGTTACCAAATAAAATTTATTTTTGCTTTATTTTAGCTGTCACCACATCCAAGTGGGAAATGTTTGACCAGCATGAAGAGTCTGATGAGGAAGAAAATCAAATGTATGTAAAAGGAACTTATTGCAGTTACAAAATGTAAACCAACAATAGTTCCATAGACTTGGTTTTGCTAAGCACAAGTGAAAATGATTTTGATTTGTTGCTAGCACTCATGTAAGGCCAGGTTCACATATATGCAGATGTGCAATCCTCAGTTTGCATGGGAACAGAAGCCTATTCATTTGAATGGGCTGTCATGCCTTGTGCAACGCAGGAAAAGGTCCCTGCACTATTTTTGAAATCGTAGCCCGCAATGGAACCGCAGGTTCAGTGCGGTTCCCAGGGCATGTGTGATTTCCAGTGTGGGTGGCGTGCCATTAGGATTGTTGGCACCCGCCCACATCTGCGTTTCACTGTGCGAGTGATTGCGGCTGTGGGAACAGGTGTGGGTCCTGCAGCAGCAACCACCTGCACAGCTGTGATTCGTAGCCTAACACTAAGGACCCTACAGAAGAATTTATGTAACGAAACTGGAAGAAATATCGATCTGCTTAGCTGTAGATTTTTTTTTTTTAACATTTTTTTTTTTATCTCCTTACTCATCTTCAGATTGTAGAATAACTATGTTATATGCATGCATGGGAGTTTTGGGGTGTCAGTTTGGTTTATCTGGTACCATTGCTTATATATTTTTCAAAGTGTTAGCAAAAATGTTTTCACAGTTTGTAAGAGAGTTTATTCTATCACGTCATATACCCTCACCACTGGTGATAAAAAGTCACTCTTTTAGGTCCTTTGCACAAAATGGCAGGCTGAAATAAGATGTGGCTGGATGGGTGCTTGCATTTAGGACCCATGTTTTCAGGGATGAATGCCTGGGCACACTAAAATGGCAGGATTGCAGGCACAGCAGCTAGAGATCCCAGGTGCAACTGCCCTTAGGTTGCCACATGGGGAGACCTGCTGGAAATACCAATTGGAATTTCACTCCCTGTAACAGAGTTGCAGAATGATGGTGAATTACAGTTACAGAACCTCAGCAGAGATTGACTTTTCTTCTAATGCTGTAGCATGTGTGGTCGGTCAAAGCTCCAACAGGCCTTAGCAAGGGAACAATTCTTGAACCCCTGAACATAATATGGGAGCTACCATTGCTGTTTTTAATGGTGTACACTCAAGGGGTGTCTTTATTTTAAATTCTTATTGCTTTTGTACTTGCTGAATCACTAAGCCTAAGCAAGCATTTGTTGGTGCACATGCTTGTTCAAGGTAACAGGTAAAAAGCTTGGTTAAAGAAGTATATTGGCTCAGGACCTTTTTCCTTCTACACCTTGTCAGCATAAATATTTTATATCATGACAATCTTTAGAGGCCTTTATAATCATGCATATGTTTGCCTCATTATAGTCAAGAGGAGGAAAGTGACGATGAAGAGGATACACAGAGCTCTAAATCAGAGGACCAACATTACTACTCCAACCCAATTAGAGATGATATGTCTGATTCTAAATCATTTAAATATTCTGAAATGAGTGAAGAAAAACGTGCCAAACTTAGAGAAATTGAGGTCAGTAAAAATGACAGCTTCTACTTTTTTCTTTCAGTTTTTCTCTTTTCTTTTACTTAGACTGACACTAATCTGTTATGGACTACCTTTTCCCACAACATTACTTACAGAGTTCCTAAAGATAAAACAATAGCAATAGTGGGGAAGGAGTCCAAATTGCTTTTATTATAAAGGTGTATGTGTGTATATATTTATGTGTGTGTGTGTTATAAAATATCTATCATAATGTATTTAGACTTCACTCAACAAAATTGAAAACTAAAAAGGATCTGAATACTTTATGAAAGCTGTGTGCATATATATATGTATATAGGGGTTTGTGTGTGTGAAGGAAATAAGTATTTGATCCCCTGCGGATTTTGAATGTTTGCCCACTCACAAAGAAATGATCAGTAAAAAAATCGAATGGTAAGTGTATTGTAACACAGAGTCAGAATAGCAACAAAAATTCAAAAGAAATGCATGTTTAACAAATTATGCACTGATTTGCATGTTCATCAGGGAAATAAGTATTTGATCCCCTTCACAAAACATGACTTTGTACTTGGTGGCAAATCCCTTGTTGGCAATCACAGAGGTCAGAGGTTTCTTGTAGTTGGCCACCAAGTTTGCACACATCTCAGGAGGAATTTTGGCCCACTCCTCTTGACAGATCCTCTCCAAGTCATTAAGGTTTGGCGGCTCGAGTTTGGGAACTTGAACTTTCAGCTCTCTCCACAGATTTTCAATCGGATTTAGGTCTGGAGACTGGCTAGGCCACTCCAGGACCTTAATGTGCTTCTTCCTGAGCCACTCCTTTGTTGCCTTGGCTGTGTGTTTTGGGTTGCTGCCATGCTGGAACACCCATCCACGACCAATTTTCAATGCCCTGGCTGAGGGAAGAAGGTTCTCACCCAAGATTTGACAGTACATTGCCTCATCCATCGTCCCTTTGATGCGGTGCTTTTGTCCTGTCCTCTTAGCAGAAAAACACCCCCAAAGCAGAATGTTTCCACCACCATGTTTGACAGTTGGGATGGTGTTCTTGGGGGTCATAGACAGCATTCCTCCTCTCCAAACACGGTGAGTTGAGTTGATGCCAAAGAGCTCAAAATTGGTCTCATCTGACCACAACACTTTCAACCAGTCCTCCTCTGCATCATTCAGATGTTCAGTGGCAACCTTCAGACGGGCCTGGACATGTGCTTTATTGAGCAGAGGGACCTTGCGGGCACTGCAAGATTTCAATCTTTGTCGGCGTAGTGTGTTACCAATTGTTTTCTCGGTGACTGTGGTCCCAGCTGCCTGAAGATCATTGACAAGATCCTCATGTAGATCTGGGATTATTCCTCACTGTTATCATGATCATCGACACTCCACGAGGAGAAATCTTGAATGGTGCACCAGACCTAAGGAGACTGACATTTTCTTTTGTGTTTCTTCCATTTGCGAATGATTGCACCAACTGTTGTCACCTTCTCACCAAGCTGCTTGGCAATAGTTTGGTAGCCCAGTCCAGCCTTGTGTAGGTCTACAATCTTGTCCCTGACATCCTTGGATAGCTCTTTGGTGGTCTTTGCCATAGTGGAGAGTTTGGAATCTGATTGTTTGCTCCTGTGGACAGGTGTCTTTTATACAGGTAATAAAATGAGATTAGCAGCACTTACTTTAAGAGACTGCTTCTAATCTCAGCTTGTTACCTGTATGAAAAACACCTGGTAGCCAGAAATCCTGCTGAATGATACAGGATAAAATACTTATTTCCCTCATGAACATGCAAATCAGTGCATCATTTGTTAGACCTGCATTTCCTTTGAATTTTTTGTTGCTATTCTGTCTCTCAGTGTTACAATACACCCACGGATGACAGATCAGTGTACTGGGCTGCGCTGCTGGTACCATGTGATCGCTATGACCAGTGACAGCAGATCACATGGCAATACTACACAATGAATGACTTACATTCATAGAGGAATAGACTCCAGAGAGAGATAATTTTTTCCCTGTACAAAGCATTAGTAAGACCTCATCTGAAATATGTAGTTCGGTCTTGGGCACCAGGCCACAAGAAGGATATTGGGGAATTAGAGAGAGGTGCAGAGAAGGACAGCCAAACTGAGGGCCTTGACTATCAGGAAAGATTAGCTGAATTAAGTTTATTCTCTTGAAAAGAGGAAATTACAAGGAAATATGATCACCATGTATAGATACATAAATGATCCATAATAATGAACAAATAATGTTACACAAATTACCTGCTGGTGTGTTCAGTGCATTGTTTTAAAGTGGTATTATTTTGTTACACTTACCTGCTGTGTGCATGGGTTTTGCACAGAGCAGCCCCAATCCACTTATTTTTGGGTTCCCTGCTGGCGACCCTGGCTCCTCACATTCTGTGCATCTGTGCAATATTTTTTGGCTAAGAATTTTTTGGCTGACCCTGTTCCAAGACCTGCTGACCTCTTTGGAAAACATTGAGGCAGATACAGAAGGAGGGGGGGGGGGGGGTTCTACCCTCCACAATCACTGCTCCCTGTTTTTAATTGTCTTCCTTTATCTTATGTGTGCGATCTGTTCAGCCCCTCCAGATGTCGTAATCTACTGCAGGTCTATTGTTTTGTGGCAGACCCTCCAACTATAATCCCATATGATCTGCTCAGGAGTCCCATTCACAATGGAAGTTCACACTCTACCCCTAGAGTTGGGAAGATGGCAAGTGACTTTTGCTCCAGCTTAGGACAAAGACGCCCCAACCTTATTTTCAATTTTTTCCCCTCTTTCAAGGAGGTAAACAATGGGTCTGTTCCTATTTGCTACTTCACAAAAGTACGCAATTTTCCTATACCTTCTATTAGCTTGCAATCACAAGGGATCGTCAACTACTTCCCTTTTAGGAAGAATTACAAGGATTTTCCAAATCCTACACAGGAACCCTTGTCTGTTTTAGGGATGCATTTCCAAGCGTGCCCTTAGTCTAGGTCAGCAATGGGCAAACTACGGCCGTGGGCCGTATACGGCCCGGTGGACCTTTTAATCCGGCCCGCGGATGTGGCTGTCAGGATGTGTGTAGGCGGGGCAGCGTGACGAACGTGAGGGGGGAGGGGAGCTAGGCTCCTCTCACAGTCTGCCCTGAAGACCGGAACGGCGAGAGGAACGCGCGGAGCAAAGGTAAGTGAATTGACACAGGGGGGACTTGGCTTACTACTTGGGGGGAGGGGGGGGGGGGAATAGTACTGTGGGGGATGAAATACTATATGAGGGATGAATTAATATGGGGGATGAATTAATATGGGGGATGAATTACTATAGGGGGGATGAATTACTATAGGGGGATGAATTACTATAGGGGGGATGAATTACTATAGGGGGGATGAATTTACTGGGGGGGAAGAATTACTATGGGGGATGAATTACTATATGGGGGATGAATTAATATGGGGGATGAATTAATATGGGGGATGAATTACTATAGGGAATGATCACATGTTACTATAGGGGATGAATTACTATGGGGGAATGAATTACTATATGGGGGATGAATTACTATGGGGGATTAATTACTATGCTTACTATGGGGGAATATTTTAACTTAAATCAAGGGAATGCGCTAAAACCACAAACTATTCCTAATTTAGTGTAGAAACATTAGTGCAAAAGATATATATATCTATTATCAATTAATATCAAAAAATATCAAAAAATTATGTGCAAAACATAAGTAATTTAAATAATTAAATTTGTGAATATAAAAAAAAACAAAAACTTCCCAATTCTGATTTCTTTCAAATGTCCAAATAAATCCTTTCCAAATTCAGGTGCTCTCAAAGAAATTGTGCCAAAATCCACCACCAAAAGTAAAGTTGGGTAACTCACCAGAGCTCCATGCTGATCAATCTCTAGATCAGCAAAAAAACGCTTTTTGCTCTGGGAGCAGATGCAATGAATCAACTTCTCAGGTGTGATGATCAATAGCTACACATTCATCCATAAGGTAGGTATCCACCACTCAATATAATGGTTCCAGGAGCATTATATCACTCTCTCTTTTTATATCTCTCCACCGAGGTCATGTTTGGGAATGAAAGAGAAAAATCATGGTGCAGCCAGTTTTTTTATAAAAGTATCCAACAATTTAATAAAAAGATTTACACTCACAAAAAGGGTGTCTTCACCGACACACCAGTATAACAGCATAAAACAGCAAATGGTATAACAGTCTCCTGTTCCCCGTACACTCACTACAGCGCTCGTGACTTAATTTTCTCCACAAACGTCAGCATCCAGTAAGCCCTACTAGTTTCGTCATGAATGACGTCTTCAAGGGGCGCCCCTTGAGACCGCCCCTTGAAGACGTCATTCATGACGAAACTAGTAGGGCTTACTGGATGCTGACGTTTGTGGAGAAAATTAAGTCACGAGCGCTGTAGTGAGTGTACGGGGAACAGGAGACTGTTATACCATTTGCTGTTTTATGCTGTTATACTGGTGTCGGTGAAGACACCCTTTTTGTGAGTGTAAATCTTTATTTAATTGTTGGATACTTTTTTATAAAAAAAACTGGCTGCACCATGATTTTTCTCTTTCATTCCCAAACATGACCTCGGTGGAGAGATATAAAAAGAGAGAGTGATATAATGCTCCTGGAACCATTATATGAGTGGTGGATACCTACCTTATGGATGAATGTGTAGCTATTGATCATCACACCTGAGAAGTTGATTCATTGCATCTGCTCCCAGAGCAAAAAGCGTTTTTTGCTGATCTAGAGATTGATCAGCATGGAGCTCTGGTGAGTTACCCAACTTTACTTTTGGTGGTGGATTTTGGCACAATTTCTTTGAGAGCACCTGAATTTGGAAAGGATTTATTTGGACATTTGAAGAAATTCAGAATTGGACATTTTTTTTTTTTTTTTTTTTATATTCACAAATTTAATTATTTAAATTACTTATGTTTTGCACATAATTTTGATATTTTTTGATATTAATTGATAATAGATATATATATCTTTTGCACTAATGTTTCTACACTAAATTAGGAATAGTTTGTGGTTTTAGCGCATTCCTTGATTTAAGTTATAGCACTAAGAAATTTATTTGGTTTCTTTGAGGGGGAATTGCTGCTTTTTAAAGTATTAAGGGTGTGGCGCTTTTATTACACTTGTGATATTATGGGGGAATATTACTATACTTACTATGGATGACACATACACATCATTCATCTACTCTTGGTCCGGCCCCCGGGTCCAATATATGAACCCATTGCGGCCCTCAAGTCAAAAAGTTTGCCCACCCCTGGTCTAGGTTAACACTATTGCAGGTTTATGTGGATATGGCATCCTGTTCATTTGCATGGGCCGCTGTGCCTGTGTTTTATGCAGTAATCGCATGGTGCAAAAGCAATTTACTTATGGTTCCCACACCCTCAAACACTGTTTTTTTTACATGTGTGGGGATGTCAATATGAATGAATAACAGCCATGCACGCCTCTAAAGAGCAGATTTTCTACCTTTTAATAGCAAACACAATGGGTTGTGCTTTTGCTGGGGGAAAAAAAAAACACCGTATTCTGTTTTGCTTTTTTTAGACCCTGAACCGCACCCTAAACATTCATATTCTAGGGTGCCTGTTATTGTGAGGCTCCCAAACCAAATTCTTTGAACTAGAGGCTCAAATGCATGTGTTAATACTTTTTTCCCTTTTCATTCAGCAAGGCCTTTTTGTCTGGTCCGAAGTTTATGAACATACTCTTTAGCACACTCAAGTACTACACTGGGGCATCTGTTTGGGCAACTTTTGCTCTTTTTTTGTCTGCTTTTAACCTCCTTACCATTTCTGCCTGTTCACTGCTCAGGAGCAACCAAGACGGGTGTTCACTAACCTATAACAGTTGGTCACCACACTTTTTTCATCTGGAACGATCAACGGCCTTGTGTTTGCTGCCCAATTTGATCTGAGGTATTCTCGGACTGGTGGCTTCCTCCCCGGTGCTCAGAAAATCTCCCTTTGTGTATCCATTCACTATTGATCTTCATGTACATTTGGTGCTGCTAGTGAACATCATCGACTGGCATTGTTGCTCAGTTTTTCCACTTTCCCTGAAGAAGTGGGTCACATCCCACAAAACGCGTCGGATCTTTTGATTATCCAGTTTTGGATTCAATTTTATGGAAAAGCAATTTTGGTTTCTAGTGGAGTTGCCACCCTCCTCAAATTACACCCAATGGTCCATCATTTGGGTAGTCTATATTAATTTAGATATTTCCACTAATTAACAACATTTTTCATACTTTTCATGTCTGTAATCGTTTCACTAGTTTGATGATGATCTATTCTTTTGATGGTATCAATAGGGTTTTAGGACTCTTGCCCGTGACGTTCTCACATCCCGAGCCAGAGTCTTTGCCCACTATTCTCTCTTTATATTTTAGTTGACCCATTATGTATGTGCGTACATTGGTGTTTGTCTTGCTTACCACTCTGATTTTTTTTTATAATGTCATAAATTATGCTCTATTGTATCCAATATTGTTTATGATTATGCATCTTTATACCCATAATGGTATGGTACCTTTAAAAGCCCCATTATTTTCTCCTACTAGGGTTTATATTCTTCTCTGTTCCAATAGGGGTGTGGTACCTGTAAAACCTTCACACAAGGACAGGTGAGACCCAGTATCTCTCCAGCTCCCATCAATTTCTAATCTAATCTCTTTAACACACCCATTCATTGCCCCTCCTTGAGAATTTTTCTTAGGTTATGCTACAGGTAGGGGAGTCATTCTGCTATTACCTTCTTTTATACTGATCGGCTGCATTTTCTGGTTTAGTACTGGAAATGGTCGCATTGCCCCTGTTCCCAATGTTTCCCTTATGCATTTATTTTCTTTCCACATGCGGTCTGTAGGTACCCTGGCACTTGCCTGCCTCTTTAAGAAAACCTCTCTAGTTGTATGGCTGGACTTTTGCCCAGCAATCTCCCAGCATCTTTAATTCCTTGATATTCATAAGTTGGGTACCTTCCAACCTTTAGGTTGAGTGCACATATTTCCTTGTGGCATTCAGATTGGTTCCCCCATACTCTGCAATCTGTCATGTTTGGTAATTCTCACCTAGTTTGATAGGAAACCCCATTCCAGAACTTGTTCCCATTCCTCATCCCGTAGCTTCCTCTCTTTGAAATTGCCAAACATTAAAAAATTAGCCCTTTGTAATCTACAGGTCCCTGTTCTGCCTTGTATATCCATTTCCTAAAACCAACACTTTGTTCCTTATGCACCCTTTACGAGAAATTGCTCCTCTTGATCGTCTGCTATGACCTTCTCTGTCCTTCAGGGGTCTTCTTCATCTAATCTTGCTCATTCAGAGCCCTCCACTTCTGTTCAAGGAGGTTACTCTCCAGACAGGTCCTCTGTATAAAAAGGGCCTTCTTCTCTCTGTTGCCCCTGGCAGCTGTAGATTTTTTTTAACTTCCCCTATTTTCTTCTTGGTAATCCCCCTTTTTTTCCCATTCCCTGTAGAATAATAGGTGGAAAGCTTGAGAAGCATGATTTGTTTGTCTGCACATTATTGTAATCGTGTAATTGGAACTGGGGGAAAGCACATTCCGGGCACCTGATAATTGCATATCTGCAATTATTTCATATAATGCGTTGCGGAGGGCAAGGGTGAAAGGGGCAATGTGGCTTGATAGTTTACCATTTAAATTACACCTTTTAAATAATAAATAAATTGGGAGTAGATACATTTTACTTTCTATGTTCATTGCTTGTTTTTTTTTCCCCTTTAGTTAAAAGTAATGAAGTTTCAAGATGAAATTGAATCTGGGAAAAGGCCGAAAAAGTCAGGGCAGCAGAGCATTCAGGAACAAGTTGAACACTATCGGGACAAGCTTCTACAAAGGGTACTGTTATTACTTATATAAGTTTTCATCTCCTATTTGTCTTGGGTTACATTTCTGCTTACAGGTTACATTGGGAAGTCACCACCCATCTTTCTTTTTTTTAGTTTTCTAAAGATTGCTACCATTTAGACGGAAGTGTTGTGTTTTGGAAGTGACTGTGTTTGTTTCTGGGAAACCGTGTATCATGTACTCACTTTAGGTATTCATCAATTTAGGGTGGTGTAAAGGTCATTTTGGTTACACTGATCTGTACATGGTTTTTCTATTCTCAACTGTAACATAAGGTCAGAAACCTGAGTAGAGGCGCTTATGGTCACTACAGATACCTGAGCGTCATCAATCTTTATCTCCTGCCACATATTACTTTACCCAGGGAGAATGCACAACAAACTCGAGTCAAGCCCTCAGATTGATAAGTGCACCAGATTAGTAGTTAAGTAAAATATTCAAGGAAGAGCATGGAGGTGTAGTGTGTCAGTAACAAATGCTAGCCTGTAGTCTCTTCCTTATCAGATCACCAACTGGCTTTAGGGTCTCTTATGTCTTTCAACTTACAAAAGTCATGATTTTTCTGATCACCTGTGTGAAACTGGAGCCCTTTTTCACAGTGGCCAATTGATTCCTCTAGATAGAGAAGCTCTGTTATGCAAATGTCTGACAGGTCAGCACTTTCCTCACTAGAATGTATTGCCTGGTGTTGAATAACAATCTGGATGATTTCAATGTAGCTGTGATGCCATAGCCTTTTTATATGATTGTACTGTTGGCTTTCTCTGCACTTCAAAAAAAAAAAATTAAGTTGGAATAATTTTTGTTGGCTTCTTGTATGTTAAAGGGACAGTCCCATTTACAGTCTAATTAGGATAACGCCTTTATATTTGTTAAATCTTGTCATTAGCATAGCAAATAAAAATAAAATTGCTCTTTTACCTTAAGTGCTCTGTTTTGATAACTTCAGCACTGAAAAATCTTACTTGGTTCTGTTTATGAGGGGGCTGGGCAGCTATGTTTGCAATAATTAACCCTGTCTGTCATGTGCAGGCAGATCTTCATTATCAGTTGTAAGTAGATTTGAACTCTGTCATAACAAAGGGTAAAAGTTTAGAAGCTTGGTTTCCTTCCTTGTATGTTAATGAGAAGAACCACTACCTTTCCTTTTGACAGAATCATTCCGACATTGTTCAGAAATCCTTGCAGTCAGCCTTCATGAGCTCATCTCCTAAGAAAGCTCTAAAAGGCAGAGCTGCTAGTCAGTAGCGCAGGGTCACATTTTCATGTTGGCTTGTTAATTTTAAATAAATAGATGAAATATCAGCTTGACTGCAAGCATGCTCTACTTGGAATTTAACATTCAGGAATGGCATTTAGCATGTAGGGAAAACCTAACAATGAACTTCTTATTTTTCTCCCTTTTTTTGGTCTGTTTAATATACCATTGGAAGCATTTTGCTATCTCTTTAAGTTACAGAAAACTTGTTTTCTTATCAGAAATTGAGTGGTGTTCACTTTTATCTCAAAGAGCCCTCTTAGTTCTAATCATGGACTACAAAATGATTAGACTTTCTTGTAGAAATTTGAGAGTAGGATGGTCTGAAATGTTAGGCAAAAGAAAACTGGGAAGGCTGACGGTCTATAAAAATGCTGTGTATTTTCAGCTCACAGCACTGAATCATTTCTGGCATATCAACCGATATTTATCTTGTCCATTGAGGGTCAAAGGAAGTCCTTAACCTTCGGCTTATTCTGCTACCTACAGGAGAATTTGACACTGGAAAACAAAAAAGTAGGTCAGCCCAAGATAAGCCCTCCCACTACCATCTTGTCTCAGGACACTGTGTCCTAGAAGGATCGATGACTTTTCTATAACTCTGCTATGCTTCTGGACTTTGCTGCTAGAGCTTTGTCTCTCTTGAGTTGCAGCTGTCCTTTGTGTCCATCCTGAGCCTGGCTTTAGGAGCACTGCATTTGCAGCCTACTGGACTGGAAGTTGTGGGAATAGCCTGGAAGTGACTTTAAGGTACTGGCTTCTGCAAATGGCACTTTCCAGACACTGTCCTGGTAAACGTTATCTGAGGAGTGATTTTCAGATTCAAAGCTGTCTCAGAGCTTTCACCGTTCCACTTTGAAAGAGACTTACATAGTGAGTAGGCTAAGCATCAGAAGCTACCTTATTTACTTAGGTTGGTGGGCACCTCTAAAACTCCTTATTTCCCACTGTGTCCATTGTGGAAGGGGTTAACTAAGCACTTTCATCTGGTGGAGTAACACATATGTACTTTTTTCCATCATACAGATGGTACTCTTTCTTGCAAAAGCCATGTACAACTCTGATCTTCTCCTGCTGTCTACCTACTTTACTTTAGTCACTTATGGGCTTTGTAGTATCTGGGTCTAGTCCTGTAAAACTGCTCAGGTCAGAGATTTTCTTTCTCAGGATAAATTCCAGACTCTCCAAACTTAGACTGAAACTACTCAGTCTAGGAGTTGTCTGACTCCCCTGTTTTCCATTTTGCCCACTTATATTCAAGACCTGATGTCTTGGGACAAGTCTCTGGACATACTGATTCATTTGGCACTGAAAACCTGCTTGTCCCTGCTTGTTGTCTCAGGAATCTGTCTCTGAATACTGGTAGTCCTTCCTTCCCAACAGAAGCCAGCTTGTTGGGCTTGGGAAGTACCCTGGCAACCTGTCAGTACAAAAGACAAGGTTGTTGCCAGAGGCTTGTCTCATGATCAACATTCTGGAACTTCAGGTGGTTTTGCTGTCTCTGCAGGCTTGAAGTATCCTGCTTGTAGGTTATCTGATCTAGATTCATTTGGACAATGCCATGGTGGTGACTACATAAGCCAACCGAAAAAGAGGAAGCCAAAGTCCCTCCACAGCAAGAAAGGTAGTCCGAATCATATTTTGGGCAGAACTTCACTTTCCCACCTTGATCACAGTGCACATCTCAAGTGTAGACAATTGGCAGGCAGACTTCCTCCAACAGTCTCTAGATCCAGGGGAGTGCCCTATACACCTAAAGGTGCTCCAAGATTTGTCATAGTTGGGGCGCAGGATGTGGGCCTCTTGGTGCCAAAAGTTCAATAACAAACTGGACAAGTTTGTCTCCAGGTACAGAAATCCTCTAGTGGAACTGGTGAATGCTCTAGTAGCTCAGTGGGATCCTTACACCTTGAGCTATTCCTTTCCTCCCCTAAAACGTCTTCCTCGTCGGCTTAACAATATCAAGATTGAGGGCATTCTGGTAATCCTCATTGCTTTGAACTGGCCCAGTCGGATGTAGTATGCTAACCTGGTAAAGATTCTTGGCAGATGCTCTGTGAGCTCTTAGACACTGTAATGTAGGATAGTAAAACAAAAAATCCAGACAATGTAGGTCTTCAGTGTCATGACTGTTGAAGCTGAGGTTTTAAGAAACAAGGGCATCTTTGAATCTGATTCCTTCAGTGCTAGAAGCTAGAAAGGCTACTTTCGGCATGGTCTGTCGCCGGACGTGGAAGGCATACTTCACTTGGTTTGAGTCTCGGACTTTTGCCATATAAGTTTCTCCATGGGGCAAATCCTCCTTTCTGCAGCTGTGCCTTGACCAGTATTTGAAACAGCACAGAAATGGTAGAAACCTGACTCTTGAATAATTCTCCCATGTAGCTTCCCCTGTTCGTTTCGCCATTTTCTGTACTTGCAGGGTCTTCATGGGATAAAACACAGGGAAATGTGCATGTATTGCAGGTTTACTGCATGTTTTTATGTTTCTTTTTTGTCTGGCATATGCTTTAATGATGGTTGCCTTTGAAACCACTAGATGGCAGCAGTATGTTTTCAGTAATAGTCATTGACTGAATTTTTTTTTTTTTCAGGAAAGAGAAAAAGAGATGGAGAGGGAAAGAGACCGAGATAAGAAAGATAAAGAGAAGTTTGAATATCGGATAAAAGACAAAAAAGAAAAAGACGAGTCCACTCCAACAAGAAAAGAGAGGTCAGTATATGAAGCTTTTTGTTTTTTCTAGAGCATTTACTTTTCAAATACCTAAATTCCCATCTGCAAATTCTTGGTAAAGATGTTTAAAAAATAGCAAAATGATAATCCCTCCCAGCTCAGTTAATGATCCGTTTTTAGCTAGTATCCTTAGGTGCTGGATGTGCCTTCAGACGTCTGTGAAGATGTGGACTTGGACCCCAGTTTCCAGGCCCATCCTAACACCCCTACTTGGCTAATGTTGGGTGTCATCCAGATTAGTTGCTAAGGCTTTATGGCCAGGAGGGACTGTACCCAGATCCTAAAGGCTGGGAAAGTTTTCCAGTCGGCACTGGTTCCTTTATGCATCGATCTTTGGGTTACAGTGTATCCAGTGACCTCGCTGGTAGGTTACTATGCAGGTTCAGGGCAATGGTCATTCTGGTGAATATTGATCAATCCTGAAGTACTGACAGCCAATCTAATTTCTTGAGGCCCAAGAATGTCAGAACAGTACAGATATCCCCCAAATGACCCCTTTTTGGCAAAGTAGACAGTCCAACGTACTTCATAAGAGGCATGGCGAGTTTTTTGAAGTTGTATTTTTTTTGTCATAATTTTTCAGAAAATGAAAAAATTTAAAAAAAATGTTTCACTTTTTTTTAATTTTTTTTTTTTTACATATTGTCACCAGTGCAGTACAGCGTCCTCATATAACTGGCATTGCGGTGATCAGGGACACTGGTGACAGTATGAAAAAAAAAAAATTTTTTTTTTATTATTTTTTATTACCTTTTTTTTTTTTTTTTAAGATTTTTTTTTTCATATTTCACGATGACCAAAGTAGTACAATGTTACCATAGTAACATTGTACTACTTTGGGGAAGTGATCAGTATTTTATTTTTTTTACACAATTTTCTTATACCAAAGAATTACTTTGCTATAAGCAAGCATTTACCTGAATGACATCGATTCATTCAGGGTTTTTTTTTTTTTTTTTTTTTTGTGCTTAGCTGTGATTTGGCCACAGCTAATCACATGACATGTGCATGTGATTAGCTGTGACCATTCACAGCTAGACACTAGTATACAATGGATGGCATGAATGAAGCCATCCATTGTATACAACTGTCATGTGACCTGCTGTGATTGGTCACAGCAGGTCACATGGTACCGGCAACGGGGGCCGGTACTCAGATCTGTCATCGGCCGTGTCTGAGGTACATGGCCGGTGACGGATCGCGCCACTGCGCGGCTCTGCAGGAGCGCAATCTGCACATGTGTGGGAGGACGCCATATGGCGTCCACCCGGAACGCTGATGACATTTGCCGGTCGCCATTTGGCCATACGGCAGGCGGCAAATGGTTAAGGAATCTTTCTGAGTGGCTCTGCAGTCTACTGTGGCTAAGGTGGTAGTTTGCCAAGCCCTAATGGTCTGGTCAAAACATATGATTCATCCAGAGAATCAGAACCAGAGGATTCTGCCATTTTGCAGCTTCTGAAAGCTTTTCCAAGAGCCTAAAGTTTCTTTGATGATTACATACAGCAACTTTCTTGGGTGGGCACCATGTATGACCTTATGAGAAGAAAATGTTTGTTTAAACCATTCTTGGATGCTTTCATCCAAAGATGACTGCAGAAAAAAGCACTCTCTTACCCCTAAAGAAGAAGGCAAAGGTGACAGGTCAGAGACTGGTCACTCATTCAGAATCCAAGATGTGTTCCTTTTTTTAAGAAACTAGTGTTGGGCTTTAAGCAAAAGCCTACATACCTGGTCTGTAAGAAAACTGGATCCCCACGTTTTCCAGTTCTGGAGGCAAATCCTCACAGCAAAGGGGCAGCCCATTGGCCTTTACAGCTTCCTGGATGTCACAGATAACTTGGTCGACAGCATGGTATCCAGATGCTACAAGCTGGTGTTTCATTGTTTCTCCCACCATGTTTTATGCACTAAAATGTATCTTCAGATTTACAAAAAAGAGCAGTTTTCTTTGTACCCATGGAAATACAGCTGTCCCAAGTGGTCATGGCATATTTGTAAGAATAAGAGAGGGTCTCACGGCTTCTATTCCAACCTGTTCACAATTCCCAAGTAAAGCAGAGCTGATTGGCCTATTCTGGACCTCAAGGGTCTCAAGTTACTGATGGTAAAAAAAATTGTGTCTACCCGATCAGTAATAGCTTCAGTTTTTCAGGTGACTTCATGGCTTATTAGTGGATCAGAAATGCTTACCTACAAATCCTGGTTTTTGAGCCAGGAGGCCAGAAGGGGATACGAGAGGAGGATCAGGGCTGCTCTGTGCAAAACTTTTACACAGAGCAGGTAAATATAACATTTTATGATATTAGGAAAAAAAAATGAAGGTTTAATATCACTTTAACATGAGGACTGCCATTGGGCTTACAGATTTGTCCATACATGTCAGTTATGTTTTATCTTTGCATGTTTGACTTTTTTACATTGTGTTTGTTTTCCCAGTAAATGATCTTGGCATTTCCTCTTAGAATTTTGGCAAAATTCTAATCTTTACTTTAACTTGCTTTTGCACTGTAGTTCATTACTATGAGAGGCACATTTTGAGTTCATTTGCGTGTTAATTAGAATTTGTAATTGGATGGGAGTAGTTTTTCATACTTTATAGGCTTCTATAATATGTCTTTATAAATAAAGTGGTTCCTGTTACTATATTTATCAATTTTGTTCATTCTTCCAGAAAAAAGCGTCACAGTGGTTCCCCCAGTCCATCACGCAGTAGCAGTAGTAAGCGAGGCAAATCTCCTTCACCAAAATCAGAACGCTCTGAGAGGTCACACAAGGACAGCTCCAGATCACGATCCTCTCATAAAGACTCTCCCAGAGATGCCAGTAAAAAGTCCAAAAGGTGAGCTGTAAATTCATACACGCTATTTAAAAATAATTTTTCATAATTTTACATAAATTAATTTTCAGTCACTTCTTTTTAAAAAAGTATCCGTGTAAATCTGTGGATTGTATGCTGCGGTTGGCCCAATCAGCATTGTATCCTGCTGTTGGCTCATCACTGTCATATGGGTGGCCTTACTAAGTGATAATGGCACTTATGAACGTGGAAGGATTGCTATTGGAGCAGAAGACCTGAAAGTTGGTTGTTAAATGCTTCTAGATCAACTCCCAATACATTACACTTGCTTTATTTAAAGTAAATAAACCCATAGGTTTACTTTAAAGTTAAGTGTAAGCCAAACTTGTAGCGTGGCTGAATTGCCTTGGTTTGCAAATACAAACCAAAAAAGCAAAGACAATTCCTTCTATCTTCCTTAGGCTGTAACTGTGTAGTTAGTTTACACTATAATAATGACATTCTGGCATAATCACGGTTGCAGAAAATGTGTAAAAAGTCCCTTGCACCTCTCACTCTTGGTGTGGCTTCTAGTTCTAATTGAATTCAGAATCTTTTACCAAGCTAAATACTTTTTTGATGAAGGCTGCCACAGTCTTACTGATAATGTGGTAAGGAGCCTATTCAGAATCTGAGTGACATTTCTGCCTTAGAACTAGTCAGCAGCTTGCTAAACAATGGCAGCATTCAGAAAGCGGGAATCTAGCTTAAAGTAGAACAATACTCAGCCCCAACAATTCGGCATCCCCGAACTCCCCATCCAGTCGCTGACTTCTTCGAGCAGTCAGCTTCTGGGTCTCGATCGCCGGCCGCTGTCATTGGCCAGGCACAAAGGACATGGCTTCCGCGCATGTGCGAAAATTCAGTCAAATATGACATTGCTGAATTTGTACAGTGAGCTGCGCTTGCTTGTACACGGGCGGACAAGCAGGTTAGTAGCTTTTAATGCAGAAGAGATAAAGAATGTCTCTTCTGTATTAAAAATCCCACCAGTCTGCAGATTCTATTTCTTTGCTGTGATTTTCAGTGCACTAATTAGAGGTGAGAGTTTGGCAGTTGCTGCCTTGTCTCTGCCTAACTGCTCACACTCTGTTTTTCTTAAAGCAGACCAAAGTGTAAAATAAACTGGTAGGCCTTTTATGGTAGGAGAGACATGAGCTGTCTTTTCTGCAAATAAAATAAACCTTCCAGCCTGCATGCAGGAAAATGTACACTGAGCTGCATTTGCACAGCTCAGTTTACGTTCTGGTACAGTGCCTATGTGCTGGGTTGACTGAACGCATGCACAATAGTGACACCATCCTCCACTAGCCAATGAGGATGACGGAAGACTGACACCTGTAGAAGCTGAGGAGAAGATGCTGGCCTCACAGGTGTCGGATCACTGAAGCAGAGGTAAGCATTGCAGACTTTATTCCGGTATAACTGCAGGACTCTGTCATTTAAACTGTTACACACTCTTAGGGGGTATGGTAAGGTCAGACTTAAAGCAGAACTAAATTGTGGGGGTATATATTTTTAATACAGTGGGTAAAATAAGTATTGAACACATCACCATTTTTGCTCGGTAAATATATTTCTAAAGGTGCTATTGACATAACATTTTCACCACATGTCACTAACAAACCATGCAATCCATACATACAAAGAAACCAAAACAAATAAGTTCACAAATTAAGTTCTGTATAATAAAATGAAATTACATAGGGAAAAAGTATTGAACTTGTTAACTGGAATTTTTATTTATTACTTCGTACAAAATCCTTTGTTGGTAATTTTTGAACTTATTTGTTCAAGATGTCTCCTATAGGCAGAAACTAGTTAGATGTGATTTTGGCCCATTCTTTCAAAAAAATAGTTTTCAAATTCGGAAATTCGGAAGGTTCCGTGGGCCCTTTCTATGAACTCTGATCTTTAGTTCTCTCCATAGATTATCTATTGGATTCAAGTCAGGTGATTGGCTGGGCCATTCTAGCAGCTTTATTTTTTTTCTTTTGAAATCAGTTGAGCATTTCCTTTGCTCTGTGTTTGGAATAATTGTCTTGGCAAAATGTCAATCCTCGTTTCATCTTCATCATCCTGGTAGATGGCAGCAGATTTTTATTAAGAATGTCTTGGTACATTTTTTCCATTCATCTTCCTTCAACGATATGAAGTTTGCCAGTACCATA